ATCTAATTTCATTGATTAATTATTACGTAATGTCAAAATACTGATTCCAAAATGTCAAATTAATTTTTAAATACATGTCAAGGCATTATGTCTGTAAAATTACATGTCATAATATTAAAATCTATTTCGTTCTACATTTCCATAGTCAATGAAGTCTTTAATACTGTAAAAACATTTTTCAATTAGCCATGCTTTCAACTTAATTCTAAATTGACGCAAAGGTAGTTCTCTAATAGATCGAGGAATTTTATTATATACTCTAATTGCCATTATTGCACAATTATTGCCATAAAGAGTACTGCGACAATTATTCATTTTTAGTTTGGATGCATCTCGTTGTAAATGCTTACTATCTTCATTCACTCTATTAAACAAGTTATAATTTCTCACAAACATACCAATCTCAAAAATATACAGAGATGCCAAAGTCATAACGCTCAGCTTTATGAAAAGCGGTTTGCATGTCTCTAATGGTCCTACTCCACATATAGCCCTAATGCATTTTTTCTGAACTATGAATGCTCTGTCTATATCACATGAATTGCCCCACAACAACAGGCCATACCTCAACACAGAGTTCACGTAACCGTGATATGCCAATAGCGCTGAGCTTTCATTTGTCGTTTGCGTAGTTGCCTAAGTGCATACACAAATCTATTTAATTTCTTGCAGACATTTTCTACGTGTAGTTTCCAATTACAGTTTTCGTCTAGCATAATACCCAAGAATTTAATATTGTTATCTTTAGAGACAGATTGACCTGAATAACTGATATTTAGCCTGGGTGGTTTACGCTTATAATTAGCAAACTGAACATATTTAGTTTTGGAGACATTAATTTCCAAATCATTGTCCTGAAGCCAGTGTATAATGGCCTCCAAAGTCTCATTTATTTCCTGCTCGTAAGGTTTTACTTTTACTTTGCCTGTGTCGGACACCACAACAGATATATCATCAGCAAAGAGGACACATTTTTTATCGGTAATATTAGGCAAGTCATTAATATACAAAGGAAAAAAGCGGTCCGAGGACGCTTCCCTGTGGTACGCCTGTTCCATTCATTTTAATCGAGGATTTGTGAGATACTGAGACTAATTTTTCGTTAACTCGAGAAATCTCCACGTACTGCGTTCTATTGGTTAAGTAACTACGCAACCAATCTTGAGCCGGTCCGCGGATACCATACCGATCACATTTATCCAGCAGTTTACTGTGATTGACTAGATCAAATGCCTTGCTCATGTCTAGAAAGAGTACAGTTACAGGTAATTTCTTGTCTATAGTTTGAGTGATAGAGCTTATCAGTGAGAATGCAGCGAGTGTGGTAGATTTACCAGCTTGAAATCCATTTTGTTCTTTCTTTATAACATCAAATTTATTAAGAAATTCCGTGAGTCGTCGATGCATTATTTTTTCATAGATTTTTGAAAAATCGGTATCAAAGTTATTGGTCTATAATTAGTTAAATGCGAATGTGATTCTTTTTTATAAAGGGGTTTTACTATTGATATTTTAAATTATCGGGAAACACACCTTCTGACAGTGAGATATTAATAAGGTAAGATAAAACAGAGGATATTTCATTAATACACGACTTCAGCACCACTGTAGAAACCTCATCGTAGCCAACTGACTTTTTATTTTTAAGGAATTGTATAATTGTTGCTACTTCGCGAGAAGAACACGGTCTGAGAAATATACTTGAGTTAATTCTATCCAAAGTTGTGTTAAGATGATCTTTAGTGCTTCTACTGGCATACATATCCTTATTTTTTGACACATCAATAAAAAATCGTTAAATGCATTTGCTATTTGAGATGGTCTGTCCACAATCTGTCCATTCTGTATTATTCTATTTATCTGCGTATGTGTTCGTAGTGAATCAGCTTTATTTTGAATAATATTCCACGTAGCTTTATTTTTATTCTTAGCCTTACAAATATAATTAGAGTTCGCATTTTTTTTCGATAACGTAACACAGTTTTTCAATATTTTATTGTATTTTGTATATTTATTTCTGAGACTATCACAACCAGTTTTTAAATTACATAACAATTTCAACCGTCTCTTATAAACACTAGACGTTCTTATACCTTTTGTGATCCATTTAGGTGTACCGGTATTTGCATATATTTTTACTTTGCGAACAGGAAAACACAGATTATAAAATAATAAAAAAACTTCATGAAAACTGCTAAAGGCCTCATTTGCACTTTCAATATTGTAAATATCTGACCATGATAAGCTTTGTAATGCACTTTTAAACTTCACTATATTTTCATTGGCGTAATCCCTAACATAAGTGTACCAATATTTAAAATAGGGTTTTCTGTCAAGTATAGGGAACGTCAAAGTTTGGCCCGTGTTATGATCCGAGCGACAAAGTTCATGTGTTCTACCCACGGCTTCCTCCATGTTACTGAAAATATGGTCAATACATGAAGATTTTCGGGTGGGTGAGTTTATGTATAGGGTAAAGTTGTAGTTGAGTAATATTTCTTTCAACTTTACGGAGTCCACGGTGTTTTTTAAAGTGTCTATATTTATATCTCCCGCCAGTATAACACGTTTTCGTCTATGTGTTGATAGTCTATGCAATAGTAACTCTAATCTTCTAAAAAATAACGCAACGCTTGAGTTTGGCACCCTGTACATGCAAACTATAATGCACGCAAAGGAAACAATTTCGATCGCGCAACATTCAAATACCTTTTCCATAGTTAGGTCTTGTAAGTCAATATTTTTTGTTATTAATGTTTTATGCACCAAGATACAAGAACCACCACGTCTTTCCCTATTTCTAGAAAAAGCACTTACAAGTTTGAACTTTTTGAAATTAATATTAGGTTCATCACCCGATTTTACAAACGTTTCAGTTAGACAAACAATATCAATATTTACTCTATATTTACGAGCTAATTCGTCAAAACAAACTTCAATATAATCTGTTTTATTTAACAAGCCAGCTATGTTTTGATGGAATAATGTTGCTGTGTTTGAATCTCCTAAAAAATTGTCACAGAAAAAACTGAGTAGGTGTACAGTACTTATTTTTCTTTTTAAAGAATGAACGTTTTCGGCAGCCTTTGTCTATCCAAACTAGAGGCGAGTGAGTCTAGCTGCCCAAGGGCCGAGCTTTGTTTATATTCTAGACTCTGTGGTTATCTATTATGTTGACCATTTATAAAATGCAATCTACAGTATTACACTATTTATTGGTAATACATTGCGTGATTAAACGATCAAACAGTAAAGCTCGGCATCAAGCATCAAGGATGATTTTTTTTTAAGGGGGATAATCATCGAATGACTGCTCCCGCCTGTGTGAGATGGGAGGGAGTGTCAGACTCTTACTGACTAAAAACCACCCCGTTCCTTCTCCTGCACGTTGAGCCGGAGCCCCGGTTACCCGTTAGGTTCTCCGCGACGCCTCAAGGAGGATACCGGAAAATCTTTGAATCGTTTTTAAGTTAAGTATACACATTTGCGTATTTTCTTATCTAGTTATATTAGTAAGTCTTTCTCTATTCTTCTTTATAACTTATTTGTGAGATTAAAATATAGGACACCGCTATACTATCCCGATGCGCGATAGTATTAACATCAACACTCCTATAATAAGATAATACAATTAATAACACCCACACACGCACAGGTCAGAGTGTCACTATCTAACACATGCATTAAGTAACCATTTTGATGATTTGTCGGGTCAAATATAACGGAAACTCACGACAACGACATATTCAATATTATTTAGTATATAAAAGTCATAATGAGTGTTACATTAAATTATTATTATGTATAGCATAATGTTTCAATATACTTGATAAGGAATATAATATATAGAATTTTTATATAAATTGGAGTAAATTATTTGTTAATAGATTTAATTATACGAGAGGAAAACATGGTTAATGTTGAGGAATATTAAAATGTACGTAGGTACAGTTTGTCTTTCTTTTGCCAGGTTAATCAGTTTTGTTTCAAGGTTGGAGTGACATATGTTACTTTTTCCTTTGACTATATGGTGAAAATCGAAGGTGATAGCTAGTAATAAACAAATAAATATTTCTGTTAATAAGTTTCAAGTTATGTGTATTTATTTTTATTTTCAGGATTAAATTATGAAGGTTAGTTATATACTGTTTATTTGCATTTGTAGATGTCGAATTAAAAGACCATTGTCGCGAGCAGGGGCATAGCTATCAGTAGTATTTTTGTAATCAGCACTGGGTGTATGAATTATTCACAACTTCCTCATTTTAATTGTTTAGTAAACCATGATAACAGACTAATTCATTGTGTACAACAATGTACTATGTCAATCTCTGCAATGGGAATGTTTTCAGCTGGTTCAAAATTTCTTTTTCGAATAAATCTATTAATAAAGGGAGAAATATGAAAACAAAGTATCATTGTGCAATAGGAATTTAAACACAAGAGAAATGTTCCAACTAATATCCTGCACAATGGGGATGATGACAGGGTATGAAAATTAAAAATCTAATTAGTCCGTAAGTTAGGTAATTAAAAAATATAGGACACGTATTTTTTTATTTTGTCGTATAATAAAACAATACTTAGATAAAACGAATCAAAGTTTAGGAGTGGGGGCTAAAACGTCATTTCTCAGTATAAAATGTACTGAGAAGTGACGTCACGCGACATTTCAAATCAATATATCTTCGAAACTATTCGTTTCCGTAAGAAAATAAAAAATACGTGTCTAATGTTTTTAAATAATCTACCAGACGGACATTAAAATAAAAATTAGTCGTCTACCCTATTCCAACGACATAAGAAATAATCCAAGTAATTAATACAACAATTTCAATACCTATAAAGAAAGTTATTACATCCTTGATAGTGCTAAGTTAAAAATACCTAGTTCTAGAAAAATACAGAAACATTCTCACACTTGACAATAGTTTGTGATAAATATTCATCTTAAGTACAATAAAATAAAATATAATAGCTAGCCATTGTTCAAATCTTACCTATTTTCTGGTATAATGTTGTTGGCATGCTGTGTGATCACACCCGAGAATGTGAGCGCCTGGCTGATGCTCTGCCCGATGGCATCTTGTGATGATATCACCAGGTTCTCCACAGACTTTCTCCTGAGAACAGTTGCATTTTACAAGATGGATTATTGTTATATGGTGATGGTTTATAGTTACAAAGACTGTGTATAACATCCCATCACTAATTGTCATTCTTTTAAACAAGTTTGTCACAGCTTTGGCTAGAATTAGTTAATTATAGTTTTATATTATAAGTGCCATAATGTTGTGAGTAAATAACAAAATAATTGGTGTTAAAATTTTTGTTGACATGAATTTTTTAGGTAGGAAAACTTATTTTTATTTATATAAAAATTATTAGCTAATTTGTTCTGTTCGCAATGAAGAGATAGGCATTAAAATAGTTAAATAATATTTTATCATATTTCCATTAACAAATGAAGAGATAAAAGTCTAAACCCTCTAAGTTTCTGAGGTTTCCTTTTTTATATTTAATAGGATGGCATTTGCTATCCTACTTGTTAAATTGGATCTCAACATAATCATTTGTATTAAATATCTGTGGTCATAATAGAATATAAGTGCATTCCTGTATTGTCTATGATTATTAAAAAAAGAATATATTGTTTTTAGTTCTGTTTCCGGATCTCGACTCCGTTGTTTTATTATAGGTTATGGGCCCAGTAATTCGTTATATTCTCGCAGAAAACTTGCCGATTAGTGCTGTATAAGTTTTAGCAGACTGAGAATAAGCTGTGCTGGTGAAAATGAGTACGAACTATGTTGTTAGTGTACCTAAGTTAAAAGGTCGTGAGAATTATGCAGAGTGGGCTTTCGCGGCGGAGAATTTTTTGGTGTTGGAAGGAACTTCTAATTGTATCATAGAAACTAAACCAACAGAAGCCGAAGCTGACGCGAAAACCAAGGCAAAATTGATCCTAACAATAGATTCGTCGTTGTATGTACATATAAAAGAAGTGAAAAGTACAAAGGAGTTGTGGGACAAACTCAAGCAATTATTTGATGATTCTGGATTCACAAGGCGAATCAGCTTGTTACGAACATTGATCTCGATTCGTCTGGAAAATTCTGCTTCCATGACCTCATATGTCACGCATGTGATTGAAACTAGTCAGAAATTAAGTGGAACAGGATTTAACATTAACGATGAGTGGGTCGGATCGTTGCTTTTGGCTGGGCTATCTGAAAAATACGCGCCAATGATTATGGCCATTGAACATTCTGGAATGAAGATAACAGCAGACGCCATTAAAACCAAGTTAATGGACTTGGAGGAAGACAGGGGCGACGTTAGCGGAAATAACGGAGCGTTTGCGAGTTTTCGCAACAGTAAGGTTGGCGCTACTGGAACCAAAGATTCAGATAATAGACAACTGTCAAAACCAAGGCGGAAAATAACCTGCTACCGGTGTAAACAAACGGGGCATTATCGAACTCAGTGCACTAATTTTAATAAAGATTCATCTGATAATAAAAGTAAAATACCTGAACGTAAACAAACGATTGCTTTTAGCGTCGTGTTTTTGAATGGCGAATTTTCGAAGAATGACTGGTATGTCGATTCGGGTGCGAGTGCTCATTTGACCGCCAATGAAAATTGGCTGAAGAACACCTCGACTGATCATTCTATTAAAGAGATTCTGGTTGCCAACAAAGAAAAGGTGATTGTCAAATGTTCAGGTGATGTGCAAATTGCTACAATTACAGATGATTGTGAATATGATGTGGTTGTTGAAAAAGTTTTATGTGTTCCCAGTTTAACCACCAATCTATTGTCAGTCAGTCAATTGATAGCAAGAGGCAATAAAGTATATTTTACTAGTGATGGTTGTCAAATTTACAATCAAGATGACAAGTTAGTTGCCACAGCTTGTTTGATAAATGGTGTCTACAAATTAAAAATGCCTGAAAGGTTCCTAGCTGCAGTGGCGATTCCAAGTGATATATGGCATCGACGGTTAGGTCATCTGAATAGTAGCTATTTGAATAAAATGCACAATGCAGTGGAAGGGCTCACACTCGACAGAAAGGCTAATATTTCGAAGTCGTCGTGCATAGTGTGTTGCGAAGGCAAATTGAATCGATTGCCTTTTCCACAGAATGGCAGTAGAAGTGATGATTTACTTCAGGTTGTTCACAGCGATATATGTGGGCCATTTAGCAATGTCTCTATTGGTGGTTCAAGATATTACATTTTATTTATAGATGACTACAGTCGAATGATGTCTATCTATTTCCTGAAAAATAAAAGTGAAGCCCTTGATTGTTTTAAAAAATATAAAGCATCTGTTGAGAATCAACTAAATAAGAAAATTAAGAAGCTGCGTACTGACAATGGAATGGAATATTGTAATAAAAAGTTTGAAGAATATCTCAGCAATGCTGGAATTGGTCATCAAAAGAGCAATCCTTACACCCCAGAACAAAATGGCTTGGCTGAACGCAGCAATCGTACAGTGGTGGAAAAGGCAAGATGCCTATTGTTTGATGCTGGTTTGAATAAAAGTTTTTGGGCTGAAGCAGCACATACTGCTGTTTATCTTCAGAATAGAACAGTAGCAACAGCTTTAAATGGGAAGACGCCATATGAGATGTGGACAAAGAAGAAGCCAGACATAAGTCATTTGAGAGTTTTTGGAAGTATAGTGATGATGCATGTTCCTAAAGAAAAAAGGTTGAAGTGGGACAAGAAGGCTGAAAAAGGAATACTAGTTGGTTATCCAGAGGATGTAAAAGGTTATCGAATTTACAATCCAGAAACAAAAGGAGTTACAACCAGCCGTGATGTAATCATTATTGAAAAACCTAGACAGGCAGAAAGTCCAGTGCAAATCGAAGAGAAAATACATTCAAACACTGAACCAAAGGCTGAATGCTCTGAAGTATTTCTAGATTCAGTGGGGGACATATCATATGAATCTGAAAGTAAAGATTATCATGATGGTGATGAAACTTACATCCCTGATGAAGATGATTGCTCCAGTAGTGGTGAAAGTGAAGTGAGTGTTGTTAAAAAGGATTTGTGTAGGCGCAGGCAGCCACCAAATAGGTATGGTTTTTCAAATGTTTGTTTGGAAAGTGCTAGTTCAATAGATGATAGTGAACTGTCATTGGAAGATGCGTTAAATGGACCTGAGAAAGAACAGTGGTTAGAGGCAGTGAAAGATGAGTTACAGTGCTTTGAAGACAATAATGCGTGGGAACTTTCTGAGGTACCTGTTAATAGTACTATTGTTCAGTCTAGATGGGTTTTGCGTAAGAAGTTTGATAGCGAAAATAGGGTAAGGTTTCGTGCCAGATTAGTAGCTAAAGGCTTTTCTCAAAAACAAGGTATAGATTATACAGAGACCTTCTCGCCTGTTGTTAGGCACACAACCCTACGTTTATTATTTTCACTATCAGTGCAATTGGGGCTCCATGTAACACATCTTGATGTGAAAACTGCTTTTCTCAATGGTGACCTAGAGGAAACCATATATATGTATAAACCAGATTGTTATAATATTCCAGGTAGTAATAATAAAGTGTTAAAACTTAAGAAAGCCATTTATGGTTTGAAGCAGGCCTCTAGGGCCTGGAATGAGAAATTAGATAGGTGTTTGCTTGAAAGTGGTTACAAGAAATCTAAACTTGAACCGTGTATTTATACAAGGAACATTGATAATCATAAAACTATTGTTGCAGTTTATGTTGATGATTTTTTTATTTTTAGTAATGATGACAAGGAATGTTTAGACCTTAAGAATACATTGTCAAATAAGTTTACAATAAAAGACCTAGGACAAGTGAAACAATGCCTGGGAGTGAATATAAAGTTTGATAAGTCTGAAGGTTCTGTAACCTTAAGTCAAGAAAATTATATTGATAGTTTGTTACATAAATTTAACTTGATAGATTGTAAGACTTGTGATACTCCAATGGAGACTAAGCTTAATGTAAACATAGGTCAGAATGTAAATGATAAAGTGCCATTTAGACAGCTTATAGGTAGCCTAATGTATTTATCAGTTTTAACTAGACCAGACATAACCTATGCTGTCAGTTATCTTAGTCAGTTTAATAATAGTCACACAGATGAGCATTGGGGTTATGCCAAGAGAATATTAAAATATTTAAAAAAAACTAAATCATATGGCATTAAATATTGTAGAAATGGTAATTCTGTAATAAAAGGTTTTGTGGATGCTGATTGGGCAAGTAATACTATAGATAGAAGATCTTACACTGGATTTTGTTTCTTGTTATCAAATGGTGTAATTTCTTGGGAGTGTAAGAAACAAAAAACAGTAGCTCTATCTAGTTGTGAGGCTGAGTATATGGGGATTTCAGAAGCTTGTAAAGAAGCCATATATTTAAGAGCATTGCAGTTTGAAATAACAGATAAAATGTACACTTTGGATTTATATAATGACAATCAGAGTGCACAAAAACTGTCGAGAAATCCTGTGCTACATAAGCAATCAAAACATATTGACGTAAAGTGTCATTTTGCTCGAGAGTGTGTATCAAATAATATTGTAAAATTACATTATTTGCCGACAGATAACATGCCTGCTGATTTGCTAACCAAAAGTTTATGTTCAAAGAAACATTATATGTTCATGAAAATGTTAGGTGTGGTTAGTGTATAATTGATTGTTTTGTTAAAATCGTACTTGTTGTGTTTCTGTGATTATTTGAGATAGTGGGGGTGTTAAATTGGATCTCAACATAATCATTTGTATTAAATATCTGTGGTCATAATAGAATATAAGTGCATTCCTGTATTGTCTATGATTATTAAAAAAAGAATATATTGTTTTTAGTTCTGTTTCCGGATCTCGACTCCGTTGTTTTATTATACTACTGAAAGAGAAATAAACAATTATTGGATTGTTATTGTTACATACTTAAAGTGATTAGAAGTTATTATAATATATGAAAGTGCAATAGCTACCATTTTATTTGTTCACAGCACTTTTCCCATTTATCAATGCATAATATTATATTGTCAATTATTGAATGTCTATTAATTAGGTGGATAGATATTTTAACTCAAGTCATTTGTCATTTTTAATAATTTTAATTGATAATAATTTGTTTCTTAGTCTTTCTCTCTGTTTGTGAGATGATAGCATTGTTTTATAACAAGTTTTCATGTTATACAACACCTACTTAATGTTTAAAGTTGGTAAAATATAGTTTGAATGGATTTAATTTACATATTCTGCTAATAAATTCCATTAAATAAATAAATGCTTAATTAATTTGCATTGTATTAACAAATTAACATATTCAAGTTTAAAATAAAATCAAGTTTATTGGAAGTAGTACAAGTATTATTTATACATTACTTGAATAAATATAGATATTATCTAATAATCTAAATCTTGATTCTTGTTAGAATATACCTACACTGTACCAGACCATACAGGTTTTGATGATCTTTTTATTTCCTGATATTTTTTTTCCAGCACATTAAATGGGAGTTAAATGTGGAGTTCTAGTATAGTATCTAGATATACTTAGTTAAAACCAACTGTTAGTTTAACTGGCCATTGTTGCAAAGAAAGTTAGTACTTAACAGGAGTGTATAAATGTACTATCTGTTTAGGGACTATACTAAATAAATGGTCAAAATACATTATGCCATAGAATGAGACTCTTTTTAAGGTAATTACAAAACTGACGATGATATTTTAGTATCTGCATTGCGGGGACGACAGGTCTCAAAGATCAACGACCTATCATCATCAGCGAGGCAGTTCTGACGTCGCCTGCACTAACGAGCAACTAGTTTTAACTAGCAAACAATATAAACAATGTCCAGTGACGAATACAATAACACAATCGTTCTATAATTAGGAAAAATGCGTATATTACTCACATCGATATGGCGATGTTCCGGCTGTCTAGCTCAGAAGAAGTCATAATAATAGTCCAGTTTAATTCACTTTTGTATCTGCCACTAGCGAGCTATCATTAACAGCTGCGTTTTTTGCTTTCATCATCCAAATAATGGATTTTTTGCACAAAAATATAAAATTGATCTCTTTCTTTAGCTCTAGTCAGTGACAACTGGGAACAGTGTTGCAAGACTAATGAAATAAAATAACAACGGTACAATCATTGATCTAGGTTCTAGGCTTAGCTCTAGGATCAAATGACAATTATACTTTATCTCAACTACGCCTCTTCTTATACTATTAAGATTTCTATTTTAAGTATAAAGTATATTTGCTCAATAAAATAATAATCGTTAATCTCAAACTTAGAGATCTCAAAAGAAACAAAATTATTATCTCTCTCTATGCTACGTAGAGTTTACGACTCCATGGTCAGCAAAAGATTAATCTGTCAGTTTAATGTCACTTTTGCGACGGCACTGTACTGACGGCTGTCATAATTCACATTAATAACACGTGAGGTTATTTTGAAATTACGTGATGTTTAATTGAAGTTAATATAAAGTTTTAATATGGCAGACGAAAATGTGTTTGATAAAAAGAAGTCGCACCGAGCTAAGCAAGCTGGGCGCAAAGCAGAGAAGAAGAAAAATAAGAACAAAGTTGATCAATCTAACCTAAGTGCTCGGCAGAGAAATCCTAAAGCTTTTGCTATCCAGTCTGCTGTAAGAGCCGAGAGACAGTTCCGCAGACGAGAAGATGTTATTGCGAAGAAGCAACATATTCCTCAAGTGGATAAAACTCCGTTGGAGCCTCCGCCCATCGTCGTGGCGATTGTTGGACCACCCCGAGTCGGTAAAACAACACTCATCAATAATTTGATAAAGAGCTTTATAAAAACCAATGTGACGAACACGAACGGTCCTATAACAATTGTGACATCGAAGAAGCGCCGCATTACGCTAATAGAATGTAATAACGACGTAAATTCTATGATCGACATCGCGAAATGTGCTGATTTGGTGTTGTTACTGTGTGACGCCAGCTTCGGTTTTGAGATGGAGATATTTGAGTTCCTCAACATCTGTCAGGTGCACGGTATGCCTAAAATTATGGGTGTACTAACTCATCTCGATATGATAAAGAATGCTAAAACATTGAAGACTACAAAGAAGACCCTGAAACATAGGTTTTGGACTGAAGTGTACGCTGGAGCCAAGTTGTTCTACCTGTCTGGTATTATACACGGGGAATACTTGAGGAATGAAATAAAGAATTTATCTAGGTTCATTTCTGTGATGAAGTTCAGGCCTTTGAGTTGGAGGATGACCCATGCTTATGTGCTGGCTGACCGGCTGGAAGATATCACTAGTCAGGAGTTGATCAGGAAGGATGCTAAGGTGAATAGAGATGTGGTGTTGTATGGGTATGTGAGAGGAGTACCACTCATGAAAGAGTCTTCTGTTCATATTGCAGGTAAATAATGAAAACCATTATTAGATATTACACTTACTCTTAGCTTTGTCCTAATATGGGGTGTGTGAAAACACATTTTTACTTGATATTACTATTTGATTAGATTTGAGTACTTCCTTTTGATAATTATGTAGAGAAGGGGGCTCATAGTCCAGCAGTGTTCAGTACACTCAGGTATTCAATGTTTTATTCATAAATTTTTTTTTTTCAATTATTTCAGGTGTTGGCGACATGAAAATCAGTGAGCTATCCTACCTACCAGACCCATGTCCTCTCCCCAGCAGTGAGAAAAAGCGACATCTCATGGAGCGAGAGAGACAGATCTATGCACCTTTTTCGGGAGTTGGAGGCATTGTCTATGATAAAGATGCTGTTTACATTGAGCTACAAGGCTCTCATTCACATAAGAAGGAAGATGAAGAAACAAATGAGAAGAAAGCTCTACTCAAGAATGTTGTAGAAACCAAGGAGACTGTTGATGAACAGATGCAAGAGTCAGGGTTCCAACTGTTCAGTGGTGGTGCAGTCATCTACCCAGACATGGTCAAAGATGACGAATATTTACAACAAAACAAAAAAGCAGAGTCAGATTCTTCTGATTCAGAAGATGAGGGTAATGACAGCGACAATGACAGTGGAATAGATGAAAAGAAAGAGAAAAAGAATAAACTCCCATGGGATAATGACAATTCAGATGCAGGTTCTGATGATGAGGGCGATGATAATGATGATGATAATGATGATGGTGAAGAAATGAGTGTTGATGGAGATGATAAAGATAAAGGTGACATGAGTGATGATGACAGTGATTCAGATGATGAGCCTCAGAACGATTTTGGTATGAAATGGAAGGAAAAGTTAGGACAAAAAGCCACAGAAGCTTACCTACAGCGACAAAAGACATCAAAGAACATCATGAAGCTGGTTTATGGTGACTTTGAAATAGGAAACAAGGGTAAAAAGAAAGATGAAGAGTCTGAATCAGAAGAAGAAGGTGAGGAATTGGGTGGTCTGTTTAGAAGGTCACAGATACACAAAAGAAGAAGCACAAAGAAAAGGAAAGATTAGACCTAGAAGAGTGTTCATTCTTTTATTCTTTAGACAAACCAAATCTAAGGGATTGGACTAGTGACACAAACAAACAATATTTGATCAACAGCTTTGTAACTGGTAAACGGTCTGCTGATGAGGATGCATCAGAACTATTGAAATTAGATGATGCGAGTGATGGTGAGGATGAAGAACTATATGGTGATTTTGAAGATTTAGAAACTGGAGAAAAACACAAAGCAGAGGAAGATACAGAGACTACTGCTGAACCCGGATCAAAGAGGAAAGCAGAACCAACCAAATCTGAAATATTGGACAAAAAGTTAAAGTTGAAGGCTAAGTTTGATTCAGAGTATGACAACCCTGACGATCACAGGATAAAAGGAGACCACTCCTACTATGAAAACTTGAAAGCAGAAGCTTTGAAGCAATCAGAATTGAATAAATCAGTGTTTGACAACTTAGATAATGGATTGAGGGTAGAAGTGGAAGGTTTCAGGCCCGGGCTGTATGTCAGAATGTTATTCAAGAACATGCCTTCAGAGTTTGTGACGAACTTTGACTCAAGCTATCCAATACTGATTGGAGCACTCAACATGGCTGAGCAGAACATAGGTTTTGTATCCTGTAAAGTGAAGAAACACAGATGGTACAAGAAGATATTGAAGACCAATGATCCTCTTATCATCTCGCTGGGGTGGCGACGCTTCCAAACTTTACCCATCTACTCTAAGATCGAAGATGATATGAAATGCAGGTATTTGAAGTATACGCCTGAACATGTCACATGTAACATGCACTTTTATGGTCCCATCACACCACAGAACACAGGTTTCCTTGCATTACAAAGTGTCAACAACAATCCAAATGAAATCAAACAAGTTGGGTTCCGGATAGCTGCTACTGGTAGTGTTAATGAAATTAACAAGTCTACCCAAATAGTAAAGAAGTTGAAATTAATTGGTACTCCTTTAAAGATATACAAGAAGACAGCTTTCATCAAGGATATGTTCACAACTACTTTAGAGGTTGCGAAGTTTGAAGGCGCACGAGTGAAAACCGTGTCGGGTATCAGAGGGCAGATCAAGAAAGCGCTGAACAAGCCGGAAGGAGCATTCCGTGCGACCTTCGAAGATAAAATCTTGATGAGTGACATTGTGTTCTGTCGTACATGGTACAAAGTGGACGTGACGAAGTTCTATGCGCCTGTCGTTAACTTACTACTGCCTGTGGGTGCTAAGAACGCCTGGCAAGGAATGAAGACTAAAGGACAACTTAAGAGGGAGAAGAATATCAAGAACGATGCTAACCTCGATTCACTGTATACTGAAGTTAACAGGGCGCCTAAAGTGTTCAAGCCTTTGGTTATACCTAAAAACCTGCAGAAAGGATTGCCATATAGGTTCAAACCTAAAGAGAAGTCAACTACATTGTCTGGAACGAATCCTAAGGATAAGTTCAAGAACAGGATAGCCGTGATCAAGAACCCTGAAGAACAGAAGATCTCGAATGTTATGAAGATGTTGAAAACTAATTACGAGAAGAAAAAGGAAGTGCAGAAGGCAGCGACTGCACTTCGCCTGGAAAAGCATAAAAAGCAGCTGGAAGAAGAGGAGTGGCGTAAACTGAAGCGACAGAAAGAATTGAAGAAGAAAATCTGTAGACATTTAAGTAAAACTGGCAATAAAAATAAAACTCAAATGTAAACTTAGTTGTTTTTATTCCATATTCTGACACTCTTGATAGTCGATAGGATAGATAGGTTACTTCTTAATAACATAACATCATATTTTCGTATTTATGCAAAAGGTAAACAGGTATTTTAGTCTAGTCAAGTCAACTTAGTCATCGTTCAGCTGTGTAGACATGTGGTTGATAGTGAATCTGGAGATCGAATCCAAGACATTGTGCTCAGGAATCAATAGCTTTTGCACTTGTAGAATAAATATTATATGTAGGTATGTGAATTGTAAGTTCACTTGAGACAGGTAGTGTGTAAGTAAATGAAACAAATAGTTGTATCGTGTAAATTGTATTTACCTCTTATCATTATGCACAACGTATGCCGTCATCGCACTTTTGATAAACGTTTTTACAAACGTACAGATTACACATTAGTACTGATTACATTGCTCAAAATAAACATTGTCTAGTTAACAATTTCGTTATGACATCAAAACAATGGCCGTTAGAAGGGATCTCCTGTAACGATATACCGATTACCTAGTCAGGGCCAAAGCGATCATTTATAACACGGAAAGCCTTGGAATGTAACGCGAACGGTGACGACGCACCCACTCGCGCGCCCTCACTATACAAGCTATGCACACACAGGCCAAATTATATACATATCCAATTGTTTCACTAATAAACATATGTTACAATACTCTTTAACGTGAAGGTAACTTTATTCTTTGGTAGCGCGAGCCACTGGGACTTCGATTGGAAATATTTTTGTTCGTTTCGGTCCGACATGCGACAGTGCGTCATCGGAGTTGTTGGAATGTGAGAAATTATTCTAGTTATTGTTCGGTCGCGTCCGTTCCAAACTGGCGGTTACTTGGCACTTGTGGAGGTTACTCTCGTTGCTGCTACCGGCCGGGCATGGCACACCGCACGCAACGACTGATGCAGTGTAACAAGCCCGGCGGTGTATTCGGAACCGGACGATAGCGTCTACTAACAGGCTAACAGAGGGGAACATATAAAACGTGTAGAATACAAAGGGACCGCACGGCGGCCATGACACTTCGGCTATACTACGTCATTCAAACGACTTTATACAAAACTTGATTAGCTACGTCGAAAAGCTATAAGTACACTAACAGTTAACTAAATAACCATCTCCACTTGCATTGTATACAAACTTTATGTAGCTAATATATATAATTTATTTATATATTGATAATGAAACGATGATGTGTACGTATGATATTAAGTCGCGCTTTATTGACGAGACGTCACAACGGCCGACGACACGACCACGACACGGAGCCGTCTCCTCGCGTCGCTAATAGTGTTCCATACATTATTTCATCTAAACCAAGTCACTCAATTACACTAACGTTTGATACACCGACCGACCCGTGAAGGCCGGGTGGTCGGTCTGTCTCCGTACCCGACAGATGGCGCCGCAGTATGCAGCAGTGAGTGACTCGACGACCGGGGACTCAACAATTGTATTATTTTAATAATCATAACAATTTGCACATTGAAAGTCAAAACGACACTCAAGTGCTTCCGATATTTACCTATCTATAGAGAAAACAACGAGGTGTTTTACAACGATAACATTTACCTAGATATAATATGCCAAGTGATATAGCGTCGAGTACAGCTCCCCGGCCTACGCCCGCGCCCGCGCCGTCACGTTCACAAGCCGCGATACAAAGTAGATAGATACCTCACTTCCCAATTTATTTATGAAAAATTTTGAAAATGCGCCGCGTCGCATATAGTGACCTAACTCAAGTAAGGAATATAATATGAGCAATGCGGGGTAAGACAGGCGCGAGATATTATTATGTAGGTATACGTAGACATTAGCTCACAACATGCGACGCGCGGCGCAACCTTACTTCGAGAATATCCAAATTTTATCTACGATTAAAAATTAATTAATTTTATAAAAAATCACACACCGGTGGCGCCGCGGCCGTCTCTCACCTAACTTTATTAATACTGTTACTCGATAACTATAGCTGAGGCCTGCGCCGGCGCACCCACGACGACATTACTGAGGTAATTATAATAAACCGGTATATTTCATACATTTCCTATAATAACTTAATAAATAATAAAATCTAGTTAATAAATAAGCGGTTATCATTACAAAGTAATAATACAATAAAAATCCTTTCAGTTTTGAACACATCTTAGCTAAATATTGCTATTACACCTACAGTCGATACAAATGATAATATTTACAATATATTTGCTACTCGTTATAGATTCACATTTCAAATTAAAATCGCTTTAGCTATACAATCGATAGTTTATTTGATTACCTATTGAAGTGTTTGTTGTAAAACGCTTAACAAAATATACCTAGCTAAGTCGGAGCTGTTCTAGTAGCGTTAATAGAATACAAGATTACAAAACAATGTAACAACACTGTACATAGACTAGTATCGTACCAGTACCAGTACCACTACATAAAGCTATGTATATACACACCTCGCCGAGGCACTTGGTACACACCCCACGCGCGACACTGCGCCATACACTGGACTACTTACTTACTCTATAAAACATGACTAATTGGAGACGATAAGACTGACCTTACATAATAAAAAATCATTACGAAAATTATTAAAATACACAAAATAATAAATTAGGTTTAAAAAACAGCAAAGTTGTCGAGTATATGGTACAGTATCAGTCCAGTATCACACAACACAGACGCGACAGTGTCGCCCCCTGCCGGCTACAGTGTAATCTCTCACAACACTCACTTTACAGCCGACCGAACAGCCTGCAACTATATTTTCAACCTTATTACAATACACATACAACTCAACAATACATAAAAATTGTCTATAAAAATAAAATCAATTCAAAACATTTTGAAATTGTACTTTTAAAATTCAACATATAAAGTTTTAGTCAATTTAATTAAAATAGAATGTAAGTAGAACGCAATACATTGCAGACTGCGGCGTCGACAGAATACAAATGTATATATTAGTTACAATATAACTAATATTTGGCATCAGAGTATGACAATGTCCACTCGCGCGCACCGGGCTCCCTCCACGATTGTATAAAATGGCAAACACCCAGGCTCCTCGACTATACCCGCGCACATGTAACTGGCTATAGTCGGGGAGACTGACACTATAAACTATTGCGATATAAGGCTATCTGTTTGTATAGGGGGTCGAGACGACATCTATATGAATATAAAGCTATTTATTATCATATGGATGCTGGCTCAAAGAACAGCCAATATTGCGTCATAACAAGTATACTGTACATCTAAGTGAATACTTTAAGGCGATAATACTTACATTAGGGACGCGAGGGAGCGCGGCGCCCGCGGCGCAGCTAACATACATTTGTTGTGTCCGAGTCACAATAAATATCAGATTACAAGTTAAGTACATAAGTCTACAGATTCAGAGCACTTTGTAGTTATAGTGAAGCCTTACTTACCTATAATATACAGTTACGGAGAATATTATTGTTACTCTATGATAGCATTTTATAGTAGTTCGGTAGACAGAGTATAAAGAGAAGCGAGCCGAGTATTGAAGTATGTACACTGAAGCGTGGTTACTATAAAATGCCGCCATACGCCGTGTACTCCGCGACTAACATTTGTACCAAATAAATATAAAGTTATGTATGACTACAGCGGACCGCGACACTACCGGCCCACTACACAGGGAACCACGTGGCCTGGAACAATAGTACATACATTATTACATTTACTACTCAACAATAAAAAAAATATGATTTTTCATGATCAAGGCAAGGAAAGAGAAACATGAATAAAATGAGCAAGAGTGAGTATGTTGTTTGAGTATGATAAGTACAGATAAGTTGGTTAGATGACCTAGTAAAGGTCGCAGGAAGTCGCTGGATATAGGTGACTTCGAACCATGCATCATTGAGGGAAGCGAATGTTCAGCATTGGACATATTTTGAAAGTAGTAGTTTTTCTTAGTATATTTTCGTGAGGCAGTAGTATTGTGTAGAGAATGAGGGCGGCGCGTACCTAGTTGAGCGCGTGGTGTCAGGAGGGCGCGGCGTCGTGTCGCGCGGCGCGCTCCGTGCCGGCCGCCAGCAGGCTGCCGAACTCCAGCTCCAGCACCTGCCGCGCCTGCAGACAGATCAATCACAGATATTACACTTTATTTCTTTGTACGTGCTGATCTCGGAACTACTGCTTCGAATTGAATAATCATTATTATGTAGTTATCGTTTATTTATCGAGAAAGGCTTCAAATATCAAAGAGATAAAGGATATGAATCAATATAGCAACGTTTATAAAGAAAAGGTAAAACTTGGGCACGGTAATACAATATGAGCTATTCAATTTCGATTCCTGGGGAAACTCTTACGTGAACATTAAAATTTTGGTTAAGAAGGCGTTATAAAACATTACGGTACGATCAATAAAAGCTCCGCAGCGAGTGAAACTGTGCGGGAGTAGGTAATTGTCAAACATTTCCTTAAAGACACACAAGGAGTGAATGTTTAAGCGGGCATGTACCTGCGTGTTCTGCGTGGGTATCTGCAGCGCGAGCGCCATGGAGTTGGCGTCGAAGTTGTCGTCGAGCGCTATGAGCGCGCCGTGCACGCCGCTCTCCGACAGGTTGTTGGCGTACTCCTGGAACACAACCATACTGCATTATTTATCATACATCTAACATCATTCACTAGCAAAAAGAAACAAACGTAAATTTGAGAGGAGCTGCAAAAAGCGACTGACGAAATTGACATCGTCACAGCTGCCGAATGATTAGATGCAAATGCTGAGTTGCCATTAGGCGCATTGGAAGGAGCCAACCCGCATTGAGCAAGCGTGGTGATTAATGCTCAAACCTTCTCTATGTGAGAAGAGGCTTTGCTCAGCAGTGGGCATTAGAGGCTGTTGATGTGTATTGGAATGAGGAGATTTGTTCTAATAGTGTTATAGGTTAGATTGGTCCACCTGTAGTGCTCCATACCTTGAGGTTGATGGAGACGAGCCAGCGCTGCAGCCTCTCGTTGGTCCAGACGAGTACGTCCCTGGTGCCCATCTCTGCGGCGCGCCGCCTCTCCTCCAGCGCTCGCACGCTGTACCCAACTCGCTTCAGACACGCCACGCCGAAGTGGAGAGATGTTCTACAGAAAATAAATAAATTATTGCCAATCGATCAACGATTTACATCAAAACCAACTGTAAACTTATCGTTTAAGGGTTCCGCTGTGGCTCAAAATTAGTCGAGCTTTAACGAAATACCATACGTGATTGAAATAAGTCATTAAACTATAATAAGAGTAGATTATACAATACTTATTATAACGAATAGTGTGCAGTGAATTAAATAATAAATTACCTATGAAAACTGTCAACCATTTTAAGTTGCGTCCTAAGGTCTCTCTTGGTGAGGTGTTCCAACATCCTCGCGTCAACCAAACACTCCATAAACGTAGTTCTGTATTGAGGTAAACCTGAAATAGAGAATCAACAATATGTTAAGAAAATATTATGATACCAACTTTTTGATATCATCTACTTTAGTTCAAACTTATCAAAAACTAAAGTAGCAAAAACTTCCTGCCCAGCTGAATGGGGTCGAATATATTTCTTTTCTATTCTATGACATCAGCAGTCAACAGTAACTATACCAAAAGTCGCAGCTAAGGGCATTTAGAATAATTTTTTAGTCAATAAATAGTACATCTGAAGTACTCAAAACAATAACGATGTCGTTTCTTGCTTCATACTAATCTACATTATTCAATTTTGACGTCACAAAACTGTCTTTTTTCGGAGGGAAGATCAGCCAATGACATCTCCCACCTTGAGTGAGGCGAGAGGGAGTGTCAGACTTTTACTGTCTAAAAAAATTGCGTGTATGTGGTTTAGTTGACATTAATGCTTTGACTTTTTTCCTATCTACAAATGATTGTCATTATTAACCTTGTATCCGTTCATTAGAATTAGATAACAAAGTAAACATCTCACCTAAAGAGGGTAGCCATACGTTTCCGATCCACTCGTGGTTCATGTCCCCGAAGGCGAGCGCGGCGCAGGCAGTGCCGCGCGGCGCGGACGGTGACGTCAGGGACACCATCTCTTGGATCGCCAGGCGGAGCTTCAGTCGGTGGAGTGGGTTGCTGATACCTGGTACAGGATATTAGGTTTTAGTTGAATCGAAAGCTGTCAAGGCAGGTGTATATAAAAATGCGAGGCTTTATTTTCAAATAAATATTTAAAAATATAATGGTTTTGTTGTTTGTCTATTTTATCGTAATCTAAAGTTATTAAAATCTTTTTAAATTAAAGGAGACTATAGCTAAACAAGAAGGCTGATTCAGTAAAAGTTGCTAAAAGCGGGTGCCAGATGTAAACACAACGCATTTGTAATTTTTGGATTTGCAGATGTCCAATTTTCTACGGACAGCGTTGAAACTCTGCCATCGAGTAAATTACATGCCACATTCCATGAAAAGGGTGAGGTGTTAGCGATACAATCTCTTGTTAATTGAATGTTGTGTTTGCGCCGTACCGATCTCCCTCTGTATCTCCTGGTCGGACAGCGCGGACATGATGGCCCCGGACTTGACGTTGGCCCTGCAGGCGGCCACGTACCAGGCCGGCATGCCCACCCAGAGCTCGAGCCAGGCCACGACGGTGGGCCCGTTCCACAGCGCGAACGGCGTGCCCGCGCGCATCGCCTCGCCCAGCAACTCGTGCCGGTAGTCGCGGTCTCTGGATGCGGACCAAATTACCATCATTTATTAACTAACGTTTTGAATTGTACTAGCTTCTACATCTGTTTTCGGATCACCAAAAATTGTTTTTTGTCTCAACTGCTCAAGAATTATGTCAAATTCTTCTTAGGACTAAAAGTTTGGACTATGCATTTTATATCAGTCAGTCAGTTTGTCAACCACACGGTAATGGAGTTTTTATAGATGTTGTGTAACTGTATCTCACAAGTATTAAGCATTGTCAAATGATAAATGTAAAATGAAATACAAAACATCCACACTTCTTAAAAATGACTCAGAATATATAAACACTTATCAGATTGTTTAATGTACTGACTTGCTCTTAGTCCTGGCGTAGTCCTGGTGTGACATGGGCGCGTGTGGCATGGGAGCGTGCGGAGTCATCGCGTCGCTGCTGGACGGGTCGTCCGCCAGGGACGACAGACCCAGGGACGACACCGAGGATAGCGACCGGGGACTCTGCCCTTGTTGCAGCTGTGGAGTAAATTAATGTGATGATAAGAATTACGAAATCTTTTTAAACACGGTGTGTTGGACACGATATAGTTGATTAATGCCCGAATACTGAAACGTTACTCAATTTTAAGTCACGCTTAAGTATAGTTCTGTCACCACTAATTCTTTGTGAAATGACAGAGATGGCACGATATTTAAGCAAGACTTAAAATTGAGTAACGTTCTAATCTTGGTTGAAAAATCCCTGTCATTCTTAACCATACCGCATTGTGATCCTTGTATGAAGCGCACCATAAATACGTGCTACTCTTATTTAAACTAATTCACGACTTACAACTTAGGACGAGAATGGGAAGAAATTTGTCTAGTAGTGGACGTCTTGCGGTTGTTGATGATGATGATGACCATGCTCTTGATGCTCAAGTACTTCCAATCTTCTTTTAGTACAACTTGATCCATCATATTATCTTCTCTTCATGTATAAAAATGGTAACAATAATAACAAAAACATTACAACACTGAACTAACCGGCATCCCAGCCTTTTCCTTTTTGCTGAAGAACCTGCCGAGTGAGCTCTTGATGCCTCGCTTCTTCTGCTGGTGCATGGACGCGATGGAGGCGGCGGAGGCTGCCCCGGCCCTGGAGCTGCCGGCCGGCCCGCCCCAAGTACTGGCCATACCACCGCCCAGAGACGATGCCATGCCACCCAGAGACTCTTGACTAGAGCTCGATGAAATGTTGCTGTGTAGAGATTTATAATGTTAGTTTTGTTGAAATTATCAAGTACATATTATAGAGTAGAAAGTTGCACCTCAATCGGGTGTGGATTTGGTAGGTAATAAGCATGGAAATATAGCTTAAATAAGAAAAATGTGTAATTTTTATCGGTTTCAAGGTTCTGACTTTAGCAGTTACAGTGTATAAGCGCATCTAGCAGCATTTCGAGACATTACTATTGTAGAATATTAGAATTATAAGTCTTATTGCGTTTGAAATTAAACTCAATATCAATTCATTTAGATTACGTGTCCCTGACAAAGCCGTGCTACACCAAACCAACATCTCAAATGTCTAGCTAAAATGGAATTACTAAGTGTTTAGCCGATATAGAAGTCTACTATGGAGTCAGGGATCACACACATATAAAATATTAAAAACATACCATTGTTATTTTACATTCCAAATTCAACGATGGTGGGGAACACAATTAGTAATTCCATTTTGTCAAATATTTTATACCACATTTATTTTATAAAAAGAATTATAACAAATCACAAAGAACATGTATGCAAGTTAAAGAACGAAAGAACAAAAAATAATAAGCTGAAAGTCTTGACACATTGTTCTTCCACGTAATATTCAAGAACCTGACTAATTTGAGAAATATTATTGACATATTTTTCAAGGCAAAGCGTTCACGTTTTACTCTGTATTGTGCAATTACATACAACAATAAGGCACATAATAGTGGTGCGTTATTTGACCTTCTCATACAATGAAGAATTTTACTATCCCAAATAACTTCAGATATAGCTAGCAGACTTCACAAGACAGGGATGATGGAACAGGTAACTATCAACAATCCTATACATATTGGATTTAAGGCAGAGTCTGTGAGGTACGTAGTTGAACAATGTGTCTGGACAGTCACACCACAAGTGAGCCAGGTTCACTTGTGAGTGGAACACGGGTTTGGTTCCCGCGAGAGACAAAGGCTGAGACCTGTGCATTGGGATCCGTGCGAGGCTGCCCGACATTATCGATGTCCTGGTTGCGTGGAAAAGAAAGTTGTTAGATGTTAGTATTTTGTTAGTTTTTACACACAGCATATTTTGTTAATACATGCAGTTATTAATCATTAACCTCCTAATATATTAATGACAAAAATAATCCTTCGAATAGGGAATGACGAGGCTACCGACTTCAATCGATGTATTTAAAAGTTATTCAGTCCTCTTGCGCAACTTGCGCAAATATAATTTTGTACAGCGCAAATATTATAATATTAATGAGCATTGCGCAAACCGCATAACCTAGTTTCAAACATAGTTAGAATTTGAAATAGTTTAGTAAACATTTACTGGACATATTTTTATCATAACATAACATAACATCACGCCTTTTATCCTCGAAGGGGTAGGCAGAGGTGTACATTATACCACTATACAATGTAACACCCACTTTTCACTATTTATGTTATGAGTCCTATGAATAGGGGGTGAGCCTATTGCCAAATACCGGGCACAGTTCCAGACTCCGTGCTACTACTGAGATTTTTTTTAAAAACCCAGTACTTTGCCCGACCCGGGAATCGAACCCGAGACCCCTTACCCGGCAGTCGCAATTGCGACCACTCGACCAACGAGGCAGTCATATTTTTATCAACAGTTAAATAATACTCACGCATCATAAGGTGGTTGGTAGTGCGTGCGCAGTCGGTCTCGCTCAGCATGTATAGCTCTGGCAGCTCGCTCGAGACGAAGCGAGCGCGCCGTCAGCGGGGACTCCGCCCCCTCGCCGTGTGGCGGCCCTACTGGACCCACGGGGCCTACGCCACCCGCACCTTCCTCACATAGCTGCAACTGTATGGAGATAGGCCGATGTTTTATTTATGGGTAAAGTGAAAATTTTTGCTAATGGCATGTTTTAAAAGTGCTTCAAAATATTGTATTATAAAAATTGAAACACAAAAGACATATTACGAAAAATTGTTAACATTATTATTATATACGATCATTTATCACTACTATAGGTTTAATTAAACTTGTTTAAACGGACTAAGTGACAATCTAAAAGTGTTGTAACACAATAAAAAGGTACAATAAAGTATCTACAATTATTTCACATTTGTGTTTAAATGAATATTATTACAATCTATACATTGTATCAACTATCTAAATCGAACGAAAATGTGCTACAAACTATTTTAAAATATGATTTACAATTCAATTTGTAGTGTTTGCTATTTACTTAATGTCGATACAATTAGTGTGACTCTAGGAGTTTATTATTAAAAATAAAAACAGCTACTAAATTCGACATAATATCTCAGAACTAATTTTCAATATAAACTTATTGTTCAAGTTTGTACATAAATTAAACAGATAGATTAATTTCAAGGACTATTAGTATGATATTAATAATAAATATTAATTTATTTATATACGTTGCACATACAAGCGTCGCCTAATATCTACGCAGTGGTAAGCAGTGCTGTGCACTTACTGTCATTCAGTTATTAAATTATTTACTTATACGAATATAGACTACTCATTACATGGGTGTTATATCATTGGGGTATAGCTGGCATGCCGTTCTTCCTTATTCAATCGGTTTTACTAATCAATCAGACTTCAAATTATTAATATTCAAATTACAGAAGTAGACTTTAATGCTATCTTCTATTAAACCTCAGTTAAACGTGAAAGAGTATTTAGAATAAGAAGTAGAGAGTAGCCTATAGTTGAAATAAACAAAGCTACTTGAAAGGTAGCAACGGATAAAATTATTACAAGTCGTGATTAATAAAACCAACCTCTATACATATGACAATTAGGCATATAATACCAACAACCGCAATATATTAAATACAGGGCGTGTCATGCTAAATGCTAGGATGTCATACAATTCATATAATATTATACATTACATTTTACTTAAATATTTTAACTAAATAATAGCTACATTTGCATAATATTTAGAGTTGGATGAAGCAGCTCGTTTTTAAAAAAACACAATATAATTTGTCTTATACTAATGTGGTTTGTGACAAAACTAAATACTTTCGACGATATATTAATTAGAAATATCGTGTCACGTCACAGCGTGCCATATTTTGTAGCACGTTATGACGTAACAACCTCCTACTCCTAAACTTAGCGCCATTCTATCTAAGTATTGCAACTTAATACGAGAAAATAAAAAAATACGTGTCTAATATTTTTTCATTGTCTAACTGACGAACTAATTCGAATTTTAATTTTGATACCCTGAAAACTACCCAATTGTGACTCAATTAGGATGAGATTGAACATTTGGTTGGAAGACAGTATTTCAGACCAAACAACTGTCATCTCTTCTTCGAAACCCTTCAAGAGTAGTTGAAATACTTTTCAGAATGTATGGCCTGGTTCCCAATTTATAAAGTTGCTTAATTATGAAAATTCTATACAACGCGAACGAGCTGTTTCCCCGCACATAGACGTATTGTTTGTAGCTGCAAATTTCCACACAGCTGTAAGCCATTCCCGTGAATGCGTGCATACCTCTCATGTACACCAGTGTACTGCTAAACTGGTCGTAAGGAATTTTATATGCAATCTATGGAAGAATTTAATATTCCGTTCGAAGATTTCATTTAATTGAGGACAGAATTAAAGTTTAATTTGAAAATATCTTCAATTGGTAAAATCCATTATTTTACATGGCAAATTTTTTTTGGTTAATTCTTAAAACTAGATAAGATCATAATACTCATCACTGAGAAAAAGATCTAGGCCGTGAATCTGAGATTGAGATACATGGATCACAAGATTACATAAACGGCTTTCTCACGCATATTAATTTGGGTATCCTAAGCATGCGCGATCTCGCTACGTTACCAGCTTGTAGTTAAGGGCCCCAGTGTAGCTCGAAAGAAGTCGAGCGTACTCGAAATATATTACCACCAAAAACAATACCCTTAGATCAGTGTAGCAGCACAACATACTAGTAAGAGGTACGTTGTATGCTTTAGTTATAGTCGTGTATAGTTGACGGACCTGGCTGGACGGCAGGCTCTCGGAGGCCGGGGCTGCGCGGTAGTGCGCCGCCGGGGACATCGACGCAGGCGCCTGGTAAACCACACCCGTGACTTCTACACTACCTTACCTCACCGTTATGTTATAATAAATACCTCACTCGTTCAACCGTATATCCATGACATTTGGGTTGATTTTTATTCGACCAAAAATTAAGAGTAAGGTTCAAATTAGATTTTATTTTTGTAGGTATTGTGATTTTATATTGATATAATTGAATATTACAAGGTTTGATAATACGGTTAGAACGATAAAGTACTCATGTGAGTGAATACCAGTTGTTGATAACAAATTATACAGCTTATCAATATAAAATGTTAGTTGTGCCAATGTTTAAATTAAATGAGAACTTTTTACCAAAGAAGGCATAATTTACATTATAATACCCAAACCAAGTCAGGTTTGTATTTACCTGATTAATTATTAGTTTTATTTAAATATAAGATAGATAATAAGTTACAAGGCTTAACAATAAATATGTCAGTATGTGTATTATTGAGTATGTACTAGGGAGTGGGAGTAATGAGCGTGAGTGTAAATATGTGAGTGATTTTTTGAGAGCATGTTCAAGTTATTTTTGTATGTATATAAGTGTCAGTCAGTGTATTCATGACTGAATAGAATGAGAGTAAGTGAGTGAGTACATCTGAGGGAGTATGTGAGTGTGTACGGAATGAGTGAGTATGAGTATGAGTGAGTGGTTGAGAGTGAGTAGTGGTGCATACGTACGGTGTGGTACTTGTGGTGGTGTCGCGAGGGCGAGGGCGCGCGCGGCGGGGACTCGCCGCGGCGGGCGAGCACGTTCATGTGCTCGTAGCTGCCCACCTGCCCACACCACACCCGCTTATATACATCCTGTTCATACCGCACCGATCGACACCGCCCGCGGACGACATACATGTACTATGTTATTGTACTGCCGTCTATACAGAATTAGCAGTAATGTTCCTTAAGGCGACCTTCTTTATTAAGACTATTCAATAATCAAATTGAAAATTCTTGCATATAAATTGTTTCATAGTACAAATATGTGGTCGGCGGCCAGTGAAGTGATTCAAGGCAATGGAATAATATTGTTAAAGATTTTTTATGAAATGTATACCGTAAGGGCGGCGCTATTTTCAGACTTACAAAATCGGTTCAATATATAGTAACGAACGAAATATTTAGTTATTTATATCACATAGTTTTTGTTTCAAAATTAGGGCAGTAAAGGCAAACCAAAAAACGAAAATTATTATTTTAGTATCGCAATTATTTGAGCAACAAAGCTCTGAGATTTCAAAGCGCCGCCTTTATAGTCCACCACAGATCAAAATAATGGACAAAATGAGCCATCACCAAGAATAAACTAAAGTACGAGTTGCGTGGAAGCTGGAACATAATATTATTTAAGTATATAGCACTGAGTTGTTATTTGTCCATAACCAATTAACCATAATGCCATAAACTGACCCTAGAAACCCTAGATACTGTGTCTCTACTCTATTATATTTCGACTTATAAGCTCTAACTTGAAATTACCGCTAAAGCAACCCAAAAAGAATATGGTCTGCTGTAATGTGTCATTCAAGTGTTTGCATATAAAACGAAATATGATTATTGTACCCTTCACCATATTTAAGAAAACTTATCTATATTCATTTTAATCATCAGAGATTTTGTTTCTTGTATTGTAACATCTCATAACTAAATACAGACGTCTAATTATTGCAATGATGTCCTGTCCAATGTGAGTTTAGGATTACTTTCAACATCTTAATGACATCGTTCTACCAGCAATCTTCTCGATCCCAGTGATATAAAGTGTATTCCTAAACACACTGCAGATCCTGGTGGCCTGGATCCTGAGCCTTCTGGCTCAGTACAAGTTTTATACGCCACCGCGTCTAGCGCTCTGATTGGTTGGTTCATTGGAGCAGGCCAATCAGAACGCCGTAAAATACATATAACAAAATAACGGATTTCTAGTTACTGCTAACGCCATCTAGTATCAGTTATGTTAAACTTAAAAATATTAGAATGCACAGACCGAATGAACGGCTGAGTGATGATTCGAATTATATTCAAACAAAAGTACAGTTGATTGTAAACTAGCATTTCGATGTCGGTAAACGTAAAATAATCTCGTAGTAAGACATCAGAACTACCTTTTCTCCTCTTACTATCGAACTACAGCTGTGTTCCTGATAACAGACACAACCTAACCATATAAAACTGTGTATACAAGTATGGTAAGGGAAAATCTACTGACCCTGGACTCAAGTTCCTCTGCGCGTGCCTCAGTGGTCTGCTTCTCTTCCTGAATGAGCCGTATCTCCGTGTTGATGGCGTCCAGCTGTTCCTGCAGCATGAGAGCTAGAGCTGCCGCGTCTGTGTGACCACCTTCCACTCCACCGTCTGATTCGTCGTTCTGGACATATTATATGGGTTTTAGGACACTTCTTTATGTTCTCAATTAATAAAAGGATGCAGCCAGCAGAATATGAATACATAAAAATATAATTTTACGATGTTAATAATACTATTATGTTGGTATTGACATTCGTTAGTTGTTTGGTAACTATTGAAAATAAAAGTGACGAGAGATTAGTTAATACCATGCTTTTTAATAATTTAATACCTGTTCAAAAAATAATATTGGGATATAAACTAGTTATTTGTAACCCTACTTCATTATTGGGCAACGTTTTGAATATAAAAATGAAACCCGTTTCCCGTTGTCATGTCATAACTTGAGAACGGCTAGACCGATTTGGCTGATTCTTTTTGTTGTGTTTGTTATTGTCAGGAGGTTTTTATGACAGACAAAAATCCTGGACATCCTACGGGAACGGGAGAAAACAGGATTGCGCGTATAAAGTCGCGAGCAGAAGCAAGTTTTGACTAAAACTTGATTAAACAAGATACATATAGGGCAAAATTTACATAGGGAACTGGGTAGGTTAAATAAAATAAACACAGAATATGCCATGAGTAGCAGACTGGGCGCGGCACTGACCTCTGCGTCGCTGGAGACGTCGAAGGGTTGCTGCACCGTGGCCAGCACGTGCGCCTGCTGCAGCTTCTCCCACGACCCGTCCAGCTACACACACAGACGGTACATACCTCGCTCCACTACACTCGTGTTGTAAACGTAAGCTAAGTTTCTTCACTCTCTAAATGTATTTAGTCAGCAAATCTTTACTGATACAACGTCTAAACAAGACGGAAGATGCTATTAAAGTTAAGAGACTTTCTTGTAGTAGATACTTGACTGACACATTGATGAAGACATGAAGTCCTGACTCTTAGTTTTGAAAAAAACGGACGCACCGAGTCCGGAGAGTTATTATTGTTTTAAAATATTAATCATCAATGAATTGCGTCGCAGACAACATCATCGAACATAGCATCGACTTACATTTTCATTGCGGCTGTTAAGAGACTAGCATCTACTTTAGTGAGTGAGGAAACCACACGTGCAGTGTAAATTAATTCAATTCTCGGAAAACCAAATTACTAAATAGGTTTAGACTCCAAATCAAAGATATCTTTTAGCGTTAGCCGTTAGCGTCATTTTCACTAGCAATTTCTAGGACCAGTGTCGGATTAAGCATTCTTTGAGGTAACTTCAATTTAAAGTTTACTCTAAAAATTACTTTATTTGTATTAATCTTCAGTGTTTTATACACTGAATGTGTCATTTAAGTCAACTACAACTTGATGAGACATTGTGAAATACATTGTTCTTCTTATCATCCTCTGATTAAGACCTTCTTATGCAAGAAAGGGGACGATTTGGTTATTCAAGAACCCCCCCCCCCCTTTCTATTGCCACATAGTTAACCCAACACTGGTGTCTACAGCTATAACCACATGGTACAGTTACATCGTGACATACCTTGGGTTGGAACAGTCCGGGCGGGGGCTGCGGCTGGGCGGCCGGGGACAGGGAGCGAGTGAGCGCGTCCGTCTGCTGGATGTTGAACGCTATCTCCTGCTCCAGCATCTGACGCTTCAGCTGGAAACAAGTAAAACATTGTTTGTAGGTTTAAAAGCGAAACGTTTTGAAGTCTGTTTTTAAAATTTTCTTTTAGGAATAGAGACTATTGCTTGTGTTATAATAGATAAAGTTATTTTCTGTAAACGGAATGGTACTTTCTTTGTCGACGACATGACGTTACTTGCCAAGACTATACAGGTACCAGTAAGGCAGTCACGTCTGTTTCATAGATTTTTTTGTAATAAAGTACGAAATCTAGCTTGATATGCTATCTGTATGTAACACTAATTTACCTGTTCAGTCTCCATGCGCCACTTGGCGAGCTCCTTGAGTATCTCCTGTTTCTCTGCGAGCAGTTCGTCCGCGTATTTGCGCGTCTTCTCCAGTTCCTGCGTCAGCGCGTTCTTCTCGTCTAACGCGTGCATGCGCTCTTTTAGGTGAACTTGTAGCCTGGGGAGAAAGCGGATTGGTTAAATTTGTGTGCTATCAGTTACATACATACGTAACCTCACGCCTGTCTCGCATAGGGGTAGGCTGAGACTATGGAACACCAATTGCTACGATTCTTACATATATCTATCAGTACCATTGCCTATTTTTAATGGAAATGACGGTAAACGAACAGACGAAACATAAATACACCCCAAGAGTTGAAAGTGCGATCACATAAGGTAAGACCATTACGTCAACAATGGTCAGACAATAAAAATTTTTAAAAAAATCTCTTCTCAAAGTACGAAATCGCGCACATAATTTTTTATGAGACTTTCAAACAAAAAATGGATGCCAAAGTTACATTAAAACAGTTATTTTCATACCTATCATTAGACTCGGACAGCAGTTTATCGACGGTAGCAGAGAGCCTGGTGTTATGTTCCTCGTTCATGCGCAGGCGCTGGTTGAGTCGCATGAGCTCGGCGTTCTTCTCCTCGACGCTGGCCTCGAGGCGCTGGATGCGGTCCTCGGCCGACCCGTGCCGCTCCTGCGCCTGCCGGGTATAGCAGCCTCACTTATTTGTACTTACAATACTAGTCTGGGATATCAAAAACCTCTTGTCGTATGACCTAATAACAACTGTTGACGGGATATCTTTGCTAACGTCATCAGGTACCTACAAGTATAATACCTAACGGGTCTGGCTTATAACACCTAACGTATCTTATTTGTGGTCGCTTAGCTTTATTATTTTATTTGATTTGTAATGTTATTGCATACGTTACTTACGTACTTTTGAAATATTGTTATGTTATGGAAGAGCGGAGTCCCCTAATACAGGCATTATTTACCTAAAAGGAGGCTCCAATCACAATCTATTTGTTAAAAAATATTTGGTTCAGAAATAAAATATTTTTGTATTTGTATTTTTGTATACGACGTAAAATCGATTTTTGTTTATCATTATGCAATTGCAAAGACGATTGAAGTCAAAAAGGGTAAGTACACACAGAAATTCACTCAACACGGTTATGTAGTTAGTAAAAACACACAGAGAACTACAGCAAATAAATGATAAGAAACAAATCAACACGGAGTCATTCCGAACTAAATGGGAATGGATTATGAGAAGCGGAAAGCGTAAATTTCATATTAGTCACTATAGCGGAGAGAAATTTATCATTTTCGTAGTACAAATGAGTAAGTTCAATTAATTGCAAAATTAAGACATAGTTTCTCAATTAGCAAACTAATAAATACAATTACAAACGAATTTATTCTCAAATAACATTTGTTAATTAACCCGAAGTCATTTCATTGTTATTTCAAATATAACAAACACAATATATTATAAAGGCTATCAGTAAAAATTTGTACTATTTCCAAACTATGAAATATATATTAACTACCATACTATTTTCTTATAATCCTGCCAGTATTCCTATCACCACCCACCTGACTGAGGGCTTCCATTCTGGCCTTGAGCTGTTCCTCCATCTCAGGCAAGGACGACATCTGAGCAAGCTTCTGCGTGGACAACTCCAGCTTCTCCTCAATGGCTGCAATCTTCTCCTCTTGCAGCTGCAACGCATGACAGTGGCATGGTCTATGAACTGTGCTTGTGAACTAGAAGCGGCTAGTTGGGTAGTTAGTTTGTTAGTTACATGGGGTTTTGGCTACATAGAACGAGGGTCAGAGATTTTGTAATAATGGGGAGTTATTGTAAGGAGGATTTTGATTGAAGAGAGCTATATACACATTACACACGAGTCGATCATTTCAACAAATCATACAATAACTGTCACACACTCAAGACAATGTGAGGCGCATCTTAAAACTGATATCAAACCAAACCTATTGATTTCTATTTGTGTTATACGAGGGACATTCCTATTTTTCTTGTATGCAAAGACGTATTGCAGCATAATAATCATTTTTCCACTACACCGAAGCAATCCACGAGTGCTGTCAAAAGCTCCCACTTTGGTCAGCAATATCGCTTTTGGGGATTGTGATGGCTATATTTGGTAGGCATAGTTACTTTCTCTTGAGAGACAGACTTTTTCAGATTCCTTGTCTTCATAGCTCCAGTAGGGCTGACATGGACTAGTTGTTAGGGGGGGAGGTGCTCACCTTGAGTTGCGCCTGCTTGTGATTGAGTTCCTGCTCCAGCTTCTCGTTGAGGTCGTGTAGTGACGTGGACTCACGCTGCGCATTCAGGTACCGCTTCTCCAACGTCGTGATGCGTTCCTCCTGTGGTATAACATTGGTGTGTAATTACGCCATATAGGGTGTTACAATGTTTAACAACGGATCCCATTTTTCTTAGGTCATTTACCATAACTTGACAAAAATATTACAGAATTCATTAACCTATTTGTTGTTAGTCGTATGATCAAGCCCAGTATGAATGAAAGAAACAACTGGAAAATTATTTTAAAGTCGGGAAAAAGGATCCTCGCGAAGTCGGGGCAAATTGCTAGCTTAGGGGAATGTTGAACAATTGCAGCGAGCTAATAAAATGATTTCGTCGTGAATCACAATCAGTGTCAGTGCCTAGATTACGTCGACCCAGTTTCGGTGAGCTAATTCATTCCCGTCAGTCTCGTATATTTGGCGGAGGTGCTGGAAACGGTAACGTTGCAGTGCTCCGGTTCGTTGTGCATGTCGCAGGCCGTCCTTGGCCGATATAAAACGTTTAAGGCGACAACACCATCGGCGAAGTGTGGGTGAGGGTGGACCGGTGCGCGGTGGAGGGCGCTACGGCGGATCATTCATTTCATCATTGTTTCCATATTTCTTTGACTAAACAAGATTTCCGAGTCAAGTGTCGTTTGAAGATGTAAATTAAAAGATAGAAGAACAATCAATAAGTTACCTGATCTTCCTTCTGCGCGACGTTTTCTCTGAGGTCCCTCTGCAGCTTGACGCACTCCTCCTGCTTCTTGGCAAGCTCCTTCTCTCCCTTGGAGAGCCGGTCCTCCAGCTCCGACACCTTGTTGTTGAGCTCCGCCACCCGTCGCTGCCACGAGCTAAGCTCTGCTGACTGTCATACACAATGGAACATGTTAATAGGAAATTGGAGGTAGAAGGCATGTTGAACAGTTGAATGGACATAATCAAATCGATAGTGGTTTTGGTGCTTAATAGTTTAAGTTGCAACATGCCAATTTTCATTTCGTATATTAGTATATTTAATCATTTCGTATATTTAATTTTGTATATTAGTTTTTTAAATAAATTGTTTTTTTTTCATTATAAGATGAAATGTTGGGAAGCTTTCAATGCATCTTTTCAGAATAATGACACACATGTCCTTTATTCGATCAATACTCACCGTTAGAACAATACTTAACAATTGGCAAAACCATGTTGCATCCATTACTGTATAACTAACTACATTGCAATTGCATCTGAATACTTATGACGCAATGAATTTACATACACCAGACATATCAAGCTACCCTATTTACTCAAATTTCTTTAACGGAATCTCAACTTTATTATGTAGCGAGTTACAACTTGGACCACCGCCTTAAAATGCGCGCAAAATCGCGGCCGCTTATGAGCTTGGGGCCGCGGGCTAAAATCATACGATGTTTCAATTACTTGCGTGCGCGCAGTAAGCGGAGGTACTTCATCAGTTTCACATCGGCGACGGAAACTAGTGTACACGCGCTTAGACGTTGCTTGCTTGCTTGTATAAAATCTTATAATATAATATTCTATCTTCTATCTAATAATACTATTCATTTCTTCGAGTTTCGTTCTTCATTCTTCCTGCTATCCCGCTACGCAGCCAAGCTATAGTGGACCTTAATAGCTTAGCGATAAGGATTAGATTCCTAAACTCGGTTAGTGGCTAATGTGCAATTACCCACTACATTGGTGACCCTCGACGTTTTGGACAAAGGATCGAAGACCAGGATCCAGACAGCAAGAGTGTGGAGTGGTTGGTACTGGACTAGCGGTGAGCGTTTTCAATTTAATTAAATATGGCTGAGTCGGATGCTTACGCAGATTGCAAGGATGTTCCCGTCATCTCGGGGCATACAGCGGCAGTTGGAATGCCTTTGCGCTGCCCTCCATTTTGTCCGGACGAGCCAGCTTTGTGGTTTGCACAATTAGAGGGACAATTTATTCTATCGAGAATCACAAGTGACTCCACGAAATTTTATTACGCATCCACTCAGCTCGAAACAAAATACGCCATACATGTCAGTGATATCATTACTAATCCCCCAGAGGAAAACAAGTTTAACAAGTTGAAAACAGAGCTAGTAAAACGCTTGTCGGCTTCTCAAGAAAAGCGTATTCAGCAGCTACTTATACATGAAGAATTAGGTGACCGCAAACCTTCACAATTTCTAAGGCACCTACAAAAACTAGCAGGGCCTTCAGGCGCTGCAGAATTTGTAAAAAGTATCTGGACAGCCCGGTTACCTCAAAATGTACAAACTGTAATCGCCTCTCAAATTACCGAATTACAGGTGGAGCAATTAGCAGAAATAGCGGACAGAGTAGCGGAGATCGCACCTATGACGCCACAAATCGCTTGCACTTCCGCCTCCACGACTACTGATTCGTCGGACTTGGCAAAGCAAGTGAGCGAGCTCACTAAGCAGGTAGCCTTGCTCACGTCACGCTGGGGTAACAGAGAGAGACAACGCTCACGCTCACGATCACGGTCTCGTTGCGACTACCGCAGGTATGAACGCTCAAAGTACAGACCACAACAACCACCACAAAACCACCCACACTGTTTTTATCATTTCACCTACGGCGACAAAGCTCAAAAATGTAAACAGCCATGCTCATTCTCAGCGGAAAACAAGAAGGGCGGTCGCATGTAGCGGCCAACGACTGCCCCATCTCTTCAGGCCGTCTATTTATTACTGACCGGGCCTCAAAAATGCAATTCTTAGTAGACACCGGCTCAGACTTGTGCGTGTTTCCCCGGTCCGCTCTCAAGAAGCACTATAAACAATCAAAATACGATCTTGTAGCTGCAAACAACACAGTAATACACACTTACGGCCCATTACAACTTCAGTTAAATTTAGGACTTAGAAGGAATTACAGTTGGATCTTCACCATAGCGGACGTTTCTAAAGCGATAATTGGGGTAGACTTTCTAAGTTTCTACAATCTGCTGGTAGATTGTAGGAATCAAAGACTGATCGACAATCTCACATCATTATCTGTACCTGCAACATACTGCAATTCTGTAGATATTGTTTCGCTGAAGGCAGTGGTAGGCGACTCTGACTACCACCAAATCTTACGTGAATATCCGGAGATAACACGACCTCCAGGAAAACAGGAACCTGGAAAACATAGTACCTTGCACTTCATCAGGACAACACCAGGCCCACCAGTGGCGTGCAAGCCAAGACGTCTAGACCCTTCTCGATTGCAGGCTGCCAAGAAGGAGTTCGAACAGATGCTTGCAAGTGGAGTGGCACGGCGCTCGGAGAGTCCTTGGTCAGCGCCACTACACCTGGTGAGAAAAAAAGATGACGGATGGAGACCATGTGGAGACTATAGAGCACTTAACGCGAGAACAATACCCGACAGGTACCCTATCCGCCACATTCAAGATTTTTCTCACCAGCTAGCAGGCTGCACTATTTTTTCAACTATAGACCTGGTAAAGGCATACAACCAGATAGCTATCAACCCTGAGGATATACCGAAAACCGCGATAACTACACCTTTCGGCCTGTATGAATTCCCTTTCATGACTTTTGGTCTGAGAAACGCGGCTCAAACCTTTCAAAGGTTTATCGACGAAGTACTGCTGGGTATGGATTTTTGCTACGGATACGTCGACGACATCCTGGTATTTTCAACAACTCCAGAAGAACACAAGAAACACTTACGATTGTTGTTCGAGCGCCTGAGACAATATGGTGTTGTCGTCAATTCAGCTAAGTGCAACATCGGGCTGCAACAGGTAACCTTCCTAGGATACAGTGTGTCTGCTGAAGGTATAAAACCAAGTCAGTCCAAGGTGCAAGCTATCCAAGAGTACCCAAAACCTAAAACTGTGAAGGAGCTGCGTCGATTCCTGGGTATGTTGAATTTTTATCGCCGATTTGTTCCAAAGGCAGCTCAACTACAGGCACCGTTAAACACAGCCCTTGCTGGCCCTAAGATTAAAGGTTCGCATCCAGTTCAAATGACGCCAGAGATGCTGACGGCTTTCGAAGACTGCAAATCCTCACTGTCTCAAGCAACACTCCTGGCACATCCACACCCATCTGCAAAGTTGGCAATTTTCACCGATGCATCAAATATAGCTATCGGAGCTGTTCTCCAGCAGCGCAATGGTAATGACTGGCAACCATTAGCTTTTTTCTCTCACAAACTAAACAATGCTCAAAGGAAGTACAGCCCTTACGACAGAGAGCTGCTGGCAGTGTACGAAGCTATTAAGTATTTTCGCCATATGGTGGAAACTAGAAACTTCGCAGTATTCACGGATCACAAGCCCCTTATCTACGCCTTCAAATCCAACAGAGAGAGCCTTCCTCCGAGACAGTTCCGATACCTGGACTATATAGGCCAATTTACAACCGACATAAGATACCTACCAGGTAGCGAGAACGTTGTTGCTGATGCATTATCGCGTATCGAAGAAGTATCCACTGCCATTAACTTTGAAGCCCTTGCACGACTTCAGGAAAATGATCCAGAATTGCAAGAACTTCTCCTTCATGGTTCAGCACTTAAACTAAAGAAGGTGGCATCTACTGCCAATGGGAACATACCAGTTTATTGCGACACATCGACACAAGTACCCCGCCCGTATGTAACGCCAACACTGCGGAGAGATGTCTTCAACTCGTTACATAATTTGCACCACCCTGGGAAAGCTGCTACAGTGCGACTGGTGACACAACGCTATGTATGGCCAGGGATTCGCAGAGACTGTAGAGAGTGGACGAGGCAATGTATGCAATGCCAGACTTGTAAAGTCACACGTCACACCAAATCTCCCCTGTCCTCTTACCTTACTCCATCCTCTCGTTTCTCACACATTCATCTTGACATTGTAGGGCCTTTAACCCCTTCATCTGATTACAGATACTGCCTCACCGTCATTGACAGATTTACTCGATGGCCTGAGGCGTACCCCATCAGAGACATCACGGCGGAAACCTGCGCATCTACTCTGGTGACACACTGGGTGGCCCGCTTCGGTTGTCCAGCACGGGTGACCACCGACCGTGGCCGCCAATTCGAGAGCCACCTTTTTAAAGCTCTCACTGTCTTGTTGGGGACAGAGCACCTACGCACGACAGCCTACCATCCAGCAGCAAATGGCATGGTGGAACGACTGCATCGACAGCTGAAGGCTGCCATCATGTGCCACACGTCTTCGCAGTGGACTGAAGCTCTTCCACTAGTACTTCTCGGCATGCGTAACTCTTGGAAAGAAGACATCCAGGCTACGCCGGCTGAACTTGTCTACGGGGAGGCGCTACAGCTTCCTGGCCAGTTCATATCTTCGAAGACGAACTTCACTACAGCTGACATCACAGATTACGCACACCGCCTACGACGTCACATGGCCAACCTCACGCCTAAGACTACTACCTGGCATAGTTCATCTCCCTTCTACGTGCCACGCGACCTTCACTCTTCCACTCACGTCTTCCTCCGACGAGACCACGTACGTCGGTCACTGGAACCACCATATGCGGGACCCTACAAGGTTCTACAGAGGCACGGAAAATACTTCACAATCGAATTACAAGGAAAGCCAAACAATGTTTCGGTTGATCGTCTAAAACCGGCCTACATATTACAAGAAGTTCCGGAGCAATCATTTACCACTGCTGCTGACCCTGCAACCGAAGAAAAAAGGACAAGAAGTGGACGGCGAGTGAAGTTCCCCGATTTTTATCGACCGTAGTAACGGTCTGGCCAGGGGGAACATGTAGCGAGTTACAACTTGGACCACCGCCTTAAAATGCGCGCAAAATCGCGGCCGCTTATGAGCTTGGGGCCGCGGGCTAAAATCATACGATGTTTCAATTACTTGCGTGCGCGCAGTAAGCGGAGGTACTTCATCAGTTTCACATCGGCGACGGAAACTAGTGTACACGCGCTTAGACGTTGCTTGCTTGCTTGTATAAAATCTTATAATATAATATTCTATCTTCTATCTAATAATACTATTCATTTCTTCGAGTTTCGTTCTTCATTCTTCCTGCTATCCCGCTACGCAGCCAAGCTATAGTGGACCTTAATAGCTTAGCGATAAGGATTAGATTCCTAAACTCGGTTAGTGGCTAATGTGCAATTACCCACTACAATTACATTGTAATAAAGGTGAAAATCCAATGCAAGAAGAGGATAGTTTGATGTGTGGCATCTGAAGATACTTAGTTTAAGTTAGTATGCCGTTGTGTGATGGTAAATTATTATACCATGGTATCCCAACTACGGTGGTTCTCCAGTGATGGTCAGTGTTAGTGTCATGGAATGTGGATGCCTATGGTCCTAGATTACGTATTACGTGATGTCAGTGCGCGTCTGTTAGTCTATGGGGTGCATGCCGACTCTAGTACTTTAAAATTACAGTAAGCGATGTATCCATTAAAGAAAAAAATATTTTAAAATAGAGCGATTTCTTTGTTCAGTATTTTATATTGACACTAAAGATACATTGCTTAAACATACCATTTGTCAAAATTGATAGCCTAACATAATTTTTAAAACTAAGTTTAGAAGTAAAGCGATTCGTTCTAAGCATTCGAGCAGGGTCAAGCTGCAAGAAGTACATCTTACATGAGGTCGTAAGAAGCAGCATGCTACTTCATTCCAAAGAGGGCTTAAATTATAGTACGCAAATACAGAATTATATCATTCCATGTGAGACTAAAAGAACATTTATGAAGGTCGTTTAAATATAATGCTGTCAATTTACATTTCCAATCCCTAACACTTTCTATCAGCTTTGACAAATGGTTTAAGGGTTGCAATATTATGTACAAATGTTATATACTAACTAGAGGTATATTATTCTATGCTTTATTTGTACATTATACGGGATTTATCATTTTGGCCACTGCATTTACATAAATTGATTACTTTTCAAACAGAAAACGCCTATTGTTTACCTAAATAATAGCCATTTAACTCAATTTAAATTTAAACTTTTTTATGTATCAGGCTTAAACAAACATTAGTATATTTGTTACCGTGTCACGACTACATGTTATATAGCCCAAATCTCACCTTATTCGAATGCAAGGACCAATAATGATGCAGTGCCCAAAACCAATAACTTTGCTACTTAATCTAAAAGGTATTAAAGTATTAATGACTAAATACATTTGGTTAGCAATATAGTAGTAGGTTCGTATGCGTTAGTACGATGTATGCGGTATAGATGGCGACACGATCGTGCAATGGCGACCAGACCACGGTGTTAGGGGTCTGTTAGTCTGATTCGATGGTGTTGAATGGCTGTACCATGGTGGACACGGACCACTATAATGCTATTTCTGACAATATTTATTCATAATTTTCAGGTAGAAAATAAAACAGAAAATGTTTATCGATGAAATTCAGTTGAAATAGTTTCGAAATGGACAACGAGTTTACAGTGAAATGTCAATAAATTAATTCATAATTTGCTCAACAGAAAATGACTGACTGTTTACTGAAATGGTAGACACTATTGATTATTCATAGTCCATACATTAACAGAAAATTTAACAAAAATCGTATCAGCAAACAGATTTATGTAAATAAGAACAACGGAACTCAGACTCTATGTTTAATTTATGGACTCGATTGGCATTATGCATATTGCCGTCTGCTGAAATATTTATAAATAACTTATTTGCGGGACTGCGAACGTCCATTTCCTTTTCAATTTGAGAAAGTATGGTATTTTACAACTAGTCGAAATCAATATTTTTTTGTAAAATATCAAAAAACTATACTTTTCTATGAATGTTGAAATACTAACTTAACTCTTAAAGAAGTTAGTAATATACGTAAATTAAGTGGTCTGTATTACCGTAAAACCAATAAATTATCGTATTAAAACGTTGAAATAATTTAATTGAAACCCTATTGTGCATTATAGAAGGTCCGTATACCAGCCACAGCAGGCCCGTCCCCCCACCAACTAATCACCAGTACAGCGTGATGCTCAGCGTATCTAACCTGCTTGGCGATCGTATTTTGGAGTTCACTGATTTTCCTTGTTGTCTCCGATTCGCCGTTTACATTATTTGGATCCTGTGTCGTCCATCAAAAAACAAATTTAAATGTAAAACTAAACGCTATTCATTTCGTTTTTAAAGCGACAGTTTCTAGGTATGTGTTACTTCATTCATAATTTATACAATTGGGTTATTTGGAGTTTAAAAGAACTATATTCTTTTAAGTATTAGTTGTTGTTGCGTAAAATTATGAATGAAGTAAAACATCATTAGGTATTTCAAAATAATCATTTAATACACACAAAGGACCATTTCTGAAAGCGTCCAAACCAAAAGGTATTTAAATCAGTCAATCTTTTTCGAGAGGACCCAAAGTAATTTCAGAGATGGTACGCAAAAATATAGCACAATCACCAACAACTAAGATTGCGAACTCATCAATGGCACACAAACATCGAGATATTCGAAAAAAGTATTTTTCGTAATTCCCCAAGACCTCGACCTTTTCACAAAGAATTTTAATTAAAACATTGAAACTACAAAAACGGTCTACTTACAGATTAAGTTTAGTTTTTATTAGAAGCGGCTGCCTGCTCTCCCCAATATTATGACTAGTACCAGAATAAATGTTTTTATAGAAATGGAGAATTATCAATTGGCTGAACATTTTGGAAATTAGCATTTCTTTGTGGCCGGCTCACAGTCCGTATTAAATGAGATTATGAATAAAAAAATTAAGGTTCTTTTTGGGGAAGACACGCAGTGGGCAATTAATGAGTTATAGTCGTTGATAAGTTCGCAACCTAAGCATCTAAGGGGGATTATAGTTAACACATACTTAGAGTGTGTTCCTTTATAAAACTCATTGTTAGTGTCATGTACTGTGTGTGTAACTTTCATAGTCTTTTTATTAAAGTAGGTATTTCAATCCTCAGTGCTGTCCCATCCCCGTGATATCGTTATCAAATTGTCTGTTAATTACAAGGGATTGAAAAGCACTACACAATAGGTATGTCATTCTTTTATGATTATTCCCAAAACCAAATGCTTGAATTGAGTAAAGTTATCTTGAAAATACTTTTTTGACCATTAGTGTGCCAGTAGTACTTTCTATGCCATATTATTACGGTAACAGCAGTATTTATCCGTTGTTTAAGACTGATTAAAGATCTATCTACTAGAATTTAACCTCTTTATAACATGTACCTACATAAAACGAATAGACAAACGTTCATGTAATTAACAGACAATTGAACAAAAACCGATCCAGTTTATATCATACAGTATGTTCATAGTGCATGTGAGTGCAGTTTATAGAATAGACTTTACCTTAGTGGTCTGTTGTTCCCCGTTCTGTTCGGGCGAGCCGGTGGGGACGGTGCCGTTCTCCTTCGGCTTATCGTCCTGTGACGACTTGTATTGCTGCAACTGATAAATCAATACATTGGTGAGAATATGTTAAGTAATTGAGAATATTTGTAAAATTGTTGTCCTAGGTCGAGAACCTCTCCTCTATTATACATAGCAAATTGTAGATGATACAGTTTTGTATTACGTGCATATTTAATTGTCTACCTTGTTGATTAGTTGGTCTGAAAAACTAGTAGTGGACAAAAGAGTTTGGTATTGTAATAGTCTTGTAACCATGAATAGCGAAATGTGGGTTATCTTTCAATAAGCGCGTTGCGCACCTCTACCTCCCTCTCTGCCAATTTGAGATAAAAAGAAATAAAAGAATATAAAAGGTGTGACATTATGTTTATACTCTTTTCGATCTCGCGAACAGGCGAGCCTTAATTCACGCCAGCCACACCTTAGTCAAAATCCTTCCCACACACAAACATTTATTTTGACATTTCGATAATTTTGTTTCCGCTGAGGTTGAGGGCGGCTACCCTTATCAAGAGTCCAGATAAGGAAATATATATTTATTCCACCTTCCAGATGGTAACACAGATACCGGTATGGATACGTTATTTCGTATTCTGGACCAGCATCTACCTTCATGAGATCGTGCTTGGATATCGAAATCAAAATAATTATTAGTAGAAGCAATATTTGTTCCGATGACATTCCCATGACCTTCATCCTGGTATATGTAATTTTTCTCGTATCGAAAGGTCAAGTTCATGATAATCTTTACAGGACCTTTTTTAAGTCGAAAATATGAAATCTGTATATCGAAGTCTGTTAATTAATATCCATCAGAATTCTGACTATTGCTATATGAAACACATCATACAACAGAAAAAATATAATTATTTTATTTAGCTTGGAGTAAACAAAGACTACCGGGCAAGGGGTCTCGGGTTCGATTCCCGGGTCGGATAAAGTATTACTGGATTTAAAAAAAAACTTGGTAGTAGCACGGAGTCTGGAAATGTGCCCGGTATATGGCAATAGGCTCACCCCCTATTACATGGGACTCATAACATTAATAGTGAAAAGTGGGTGTTACTTCTGTGTGCACCTCTGCCTACCCCTTCGGGGATAAAAGGCGTGACGTTATGTTATGTTATATATGTAAACAAAGGGTTAAATAGCTAAGAGTTTATACAATACCTAGCTTATACTACCAACTAACAAACTCTTCCAGTCATCTGACAACTGTTTCAACGTAACTAGTCTTCAAATAAGCAGTTCCCAGTAACTCCTGATCATTTGAACGTGTCAAAACAACGATGTGACGGGTTCGAGGTCCGTCCAGAGTTCGTTAGTACCGGTTAATCTGACTATTGACTATTCGCCGAAGCCCACTGTCCTGTTTTACATAATTAGCACGCCGACATAATAGGACAATCGAACATTTCAACTGTTTTGCTAACAATCGAATTTCAGAGTGTTTGTGTGGACGAATGTATTACGTATTTAAGCTTTTGATATGTTAAAAGGTTGTTTTATACAGCTACACCCGTTTCTATTGTAAATGTAATCATTAATACAGAAAATACCTTTATGTAGGAAAACAATCGTTTATATTGGATTAATTCCGAATGGAGGATGTAACAAGAACAAGAACTATTACAGTATAATTTGCAGATTTTTCTCTGTAGAAGCGTTTATTTATTATTTGTTTTATCGTCTGTTCGAACCATAGAAACAAAAAATACTGATTTTATAGCGCATGAAAGACCAATTGCAGCTCCATAAAGGTTAGTCCATCTTTTTATTATTATAAATAAGTTTAAAATATACTTACTTCTTCCTTAGTGAGCGCTAGTTCTTCTTCTAGCGCCGTGTTTCGTTCTAACGCAACACGCAACCGTTCCCGAACCTGTAACACGTCGCAGAACATATCAATTGTGTTCCCTACAATACTAACAAACGTACTTACCGAACATTTTATATTCGTAGGGAAATTGTGAGAGTAATATCTATAAGTTGTAAGATACGTGACAATTGGAGCTTATGTATTTTCGGAGTATGGGTGAATTGTTGAGGAGTTCTTTACTGTTCTCTAGTGTTTTATAATACTGGAGTTAATGATGACTACGGACGGTATGCATAGAATTTTATTCTGCATTATATTAGACAAAAAAAGTGATGATTATTGATTAACTATTGTCATCTGGCATGAGCTCGAAGATGAACAGTCAAACAAACTTGTTTCCAAGTTATAGTATAGCTAACAAAAATACAATTTTATAATGACGACTCTCAACAATCCTATCGGACTCTCTTGAGGTAACATGATACATATTCTTCTAAAGCTCTTATCAATGTTCAAACATAGGGATGATTGGAGAGGGTGTGACATGTGCTCAGTCCTTACCTTTTCGTCTAACGCCTTGTGATGTTCGAAGAGGCTTTTGAGTGCCTTCAGTACTTCTACTTCGGAGGAGACTCCGGACTGCGCGGCTGCTTGTCGCTTCACTACTGTCATGCGTAGCGAGCGCTCGTGTCTCGAGACCAGGCATTCTAGGTGCTCTAGTAATAACTATGGAATAGAAGTTATGACTTAATTTTCTAAGTAAAAAATACATATAATGGTGGCCTGAAATAGAGGTAATTTTAGCTACATAACATGTATGTAAGTAACACCATGTATACGAAGACTAATGAAAGTGTTATCAAAGTCTGTCATAATCGAGTCTTAAAGAGTATACATACATTATATATCTTTATTCCCTAAATAGAATAGCTGACACCGATTTGATTTTTCCCTACATCAATATATCAAACAGAAAGTATTTTCATAAATAGAATACGTTAATATACGTAATCAGTTAAAGAACTAATTTAAATTAGTAATACAAGAGTCATTAACTTCACAGTATAACAATTCAGCGCTGACTTTCTACCGCGAATCGGGACAAAACAAAATGAGGGAACTTTGAGGTACTTGTGGACCGAGGGAGCGGGGTCAACGACACACGACGAGATAAAGAGATTAGGCTGATTGTAGCCAACTTGCCTTACGAGAGCTTTTGTGATAAACAGGAGGCGAGGACACACGTGCACTCTAGACAGGAAGACATTACATAGGTATAAGGAACTAAAGAGAGACGATGTTGACTAATTACATTATTGTTACTTTTTGATACGACCTTGGTGAGGTCAAAATGTGAACCATATGCACCAAACAGAAGTTCCAAACATTGTCAAAGCAATGTTTAAGCTACTTATCTATTAAAACATAAATGGTGGAACCAATCGTCAGTATACACCGTCAACCGACCCGCCATTAATTATTTGAACAATAATGGCACACTTAAAACATAAGCTTTTATCCCAACTTTAAAAACAAATGAATTAACTATGCATGATGTGAAATATTTGATGGACTTCCTACGGGACCGCTCATTTAAAATCGATTTCTAGTTTTTGGTTAAGCTTTGGACACACTTGATATAAAACTTTTTGGTGAAGGAGTATTTGATGATAAGTGATAATCTAGTTAGTGTGTCGAATTCAATCAAGCGCTAAGCCCTAGAGACCTATGGATGGGGCGTGGTCTAGACGTGGATCGACGTGAATTATTCAACGCTTTTCAGCGAATAGCTAGAGCACCTTTTATATGAAGCTTTAAGACGTTTAATACGAAAGTATTGTAGTCATCAGTTTGTTGATATATTGAGGGCATTGTTATACTGTCATAATCGGCTTTAGTTGTAGTTCGTGGATTTTGAAGAGGATCTCTAGTATGAGGCAGAGGATATCTTACATGATACTAAAGTTTATAAATTTATGTGGAGTCTTCTATGAATTTCATGATTAGGTATCTACACATTTCGATTAGATGATAGTGTTTTTAAGACTTGCCATAAGTCAAAGGCTTAGTTCAAGAGCTAAGAGAAGATTGTTCAAAGCTCGTAAAGGGTGACTTATGACCACATTATTCGTCGGAATACCTACTATAGCAATTTTTGTTATTCAAAAATTTGTTACAGAGAAAGGTGCACATTTCTGAAATTTGAAATAAGGTAATTCTACATACAGAATCCGGTGAGAATATTTACAATACAAAGCCAAAGCTGATTAATCTGACTTGGTATTTCATCACAATACTAAGACTAAGTAATGCAATCACCTAACTTGCTGAGTAGCAAATGTATCTCTGGAGAGTGCAAGCAACATTTTATTGCGACGAAAATAATTTGAAAGTGAAAATTGTAAATATGTGAGAGATTGGTGCAAGAAGCTCCAGTGCAGCGTCTGCTTGGCTGAGCACCGTAAACGGTGTCTCGTCTGCTCTTTAAAGGTTATTTACGTGACGAGCACTTTTCATCCGGACCACGAAACAACTGTGTCGTGGCGGTGTCAACTTTATATTAACTTCTCGCACACTGAGCTCACGACTTATTGAAGTTATAATATTTTGAAGATGAGTTAATAAAACGCTCGTGCAACTCACCCTGGTATTGTTTCTCTCCGCTTTGAGCTCTGATATCTCCTCTTCCCTCTCGAGGAGCTGTTCTCGTGCTTGGTTGAGCTCTTTTGTAAGAGTCGCGAATTCCTGTGGACGAACAGACAAATTTAGCATTAGAGACGTCTAAAATCACAATACCTTATAAGAACAAACTAGTTAGAAAATTCATAACTTAATAATACGAGGCGAAAACACGTAAACTTAAATCTACGGGATTTATAAAAGGAAGTTGTAAAAATCACTTTATCCGAGTGAGGCTAAGAAGATTTGAGTCTAGACAGGCGCAGGTGCACCACAAAGTAAGTTTAAGCCTCTCGGGGGATGAACGAGGTCGCGGGGCTGACACGGAACGAACCTCCAGCGCTCCACCGAGACTCGCAAACACCAGCATGTGGCTGTCTTCATAACAACAGTACAAAGTCAACGTTTGATTCCAACTGAACCATTAAGACGAATTCTCTCAATCGTACGTTTTTCCTACCCTGGCTGACTTTGCCCGAGTTTTCAACTTGCAAATTGGAGAACTTGCTTTTAATGGTCGCTTTCATTTGCATATTATAATTATAGGAAACGTCGTGGAAATACAATTTGCCGGCTGCATTTATTCTTGTGGTTCCATTTTAATTACTTTGGTCAATGTGACGTGTAAAGAAAATGGTTAAAATGTCCACGTTTGTAATTTCAATAGTACAAAATTTGTTGGACAAAATAAATTGATTCCACAGGATTTCGCGAGTGGTGCTCGCTATAGATGTATTGCTCTCGGATTCATTTACACGTATCGATATTTTAGCGGTGTGCAATCAGATTAAGTCCTACAAAAGTGCTGATAGGAGCGACAGGTGTACAGGAAAATCAATAGCATATAATATTTTATGCACATTTCAAATAGTGTAAACGGATAGTCTGATTTATGAATACCACGTTCATTATTATGAAGTTCTTTTATAAATTCGCGATATAATTCAAGTGGGTAAGACCAGTGGACAGAATACAGAAACTTGGCAAATGGACTTCGCATATTCTAGCAGTTAATTAACAATCTCCCTTCTATCTCCGTGAATTATACGAGCAAGCGGTACTCCTTAATATTTTAATAATGGAGACTAACTATACCTAGTATTAACCACAGTTTCCACATTATGCTCTGTAAAGATGTTAAATGTTCACTTTACTACAATTTTTCAAATATTGCTGTCAAGTAGTTTGTTCAAGTAGTTGGGTCTATATGAATAATGGTGAATATCGGTAATATATGACAAATACTTAACATATAATTTAATCAAATAGGCTTGTAACTGCATGATATCCGCCGCGACCGCCCACGCTGCTTATGTGGCAGTCCCTTTGTAACTCGAAATTAGTAGAGCTTTTCTCAGTATATTCACGTGAGTAACTTGTCATTTTTTAGTGAATTCAGTATGTCTCACGAAAGTTATTATGAAAACAAGGCATGTAACTTCTTGGCCGCGACAAGATGTACTGAAATGTTAATGCAGCCAAAGAAGGAGCGCATTTCCTAGATCACAGGTACATAGGGTATGCTTTAGTGCCTGCACGTCTCTGTTTTATAGGCGGCTTGCAATCTAAGTTGCTGTAAAAATTCTCTACACTACAGGTAGAAATACTCTCAACATCACCTTGAAGTATATTTGTGAAAAATAATACACGAAACAGAGTTTCTATCATAAATCAAGAATATCGATTAAGCCTGGTATGTATTGGATTTTCCATAATAAGCAATAACTTTAAGCATAATATAACCCTTTTAGGGAACAGAGTGTATAGTTCCCTAAGATTGGAAAAGGAGGATCCTCCGACCAGGCGAGGTGATCGTGCCTGGCGGGCTTTCTGCCCAACAGTTGTTCGTTGGGATTTTCTATCCATGTATATTCGCTTGTAAACTTTGCATGTGCGATGTAGGATTCTTGTGACGTCATCCGTTGACATGTGGCATGCGTCGCCACATCACTCCCTCCCAAGACCGGAGGTCGATTCCGCTGAGACTGCTGTCGATGCTTGAGATGAGTGGCGCCAGAGCCGAGAGAGAGTGTAGAACGTCCCTAGTTCCAGTGGGTCGGAACCGTGCCGCTGAGTGCCCAGTGAGTCGGGTCAGCGGTGCAGGGTGAAACTCCAGTGAGTCGGAGAGATGCGTTCGCAGTGTCCCACGGTGCGTCGGGGAAGAGATGCTGCGAGGGTAGGTGCGTAGTGGCCGGCGTCTGCGTTGACGGGAGGAGGTGTCCTTCAGACCGTGTGCAGAAGTGCTGTGCCTAGACGCTGGTGAGGCCGTAGGGAAGAACCAGGCTGCACAACTTCGTTGCAGGTAATGGTGGTCCCTGATGAGGCCGAGGATGCTGGTTGGCTGCGACTTGGTTACCGCTCAGCGGAGAAGTGATGAATGAGAGGGATGGCGATACGGATGACGGTGCTAATCTGCTCCGTGAAGTGAAGGTTGTTTCCAATCACGTCGGGGTCACCACTTTAGGGAACAGAGAGTATAGTTCCCTAAGATCGGAAAAGGAGGATCCTCCGACCAGGCGAGGTGATCGTGCCTGGCGGGCTTTCTGCCCAACAGTTGTTCGTTGGGATTTTCTATCCATGTATATTCGCTTGTAAACTTTGCATGTGCGATGTAGGATTCTTGTGACGTCATCCGTTGACATGTGGCATGCGTCGCCACATCACTCCCTCCCAAGACCGGAGGTCGATTCCGCTGAGACTGCTGTCGATGCTTGAGATGAGTGGCGCCAGAGCCGAGAGAGAGTGTAGAACGTCCCTAGTTCCAGTGGGTCGGAACCGTGCCGCTGAGTGCCCAGTGAGTCGGGTCAGCGGTGCAGGGTGAAACTCCAGTGAGTCGGAGAGATGCGTTCGCAGTGTCCCACGGTGCGTCGGGGAAGAGATGCTGCGAGGGTAGGTGCGTAGTGGCCGGCGTCTGCGTTGACGGGAGGAGGTGTCCTTCAGACCGTGTGCAGAAGTGCTGTGCCTAGACGCTGGTGAGGCCGTAGGGAAGAACCAGGCTGCACAACTTCGTTGCAGGTAATGGTGGTCCCTGATGAGGCCGAGGATGCTGGTTGGCTGCGACTTGGTTACCGCTCAGCGGAGAAGTGATGAATGAGAGGGATGGCGATACGGATGACGGTGCTAATCTGCTCCGTGAAGTGAAGGTTGTTTCCAATCACGTCGGGGTCACCACTTTAGGGAACAGAGTGTATAGTTCCCTAAGATCGGAAAAGGAGGATCCTCCGACCAGGCGAGGTGATCGTGCCTGGCGGGCTTTCTGCCCAACAGTTGTTCGTTGGGATTTTCTATCCATGTATATTCGCTTGTAAACTTTGCATGTGCGATGTAGGATTCTTGTGACGTCATCCGTTGACATGTGGCATGCGTCGCCACACCCTTATTATAAATTTCTTGTTTTAAAACACGCTCGTAAATATTATACGGGAAGCAGACACGACTATTTTTACATCGCAATCTTCATAAACCTATAAAATCGGTGTCCGGAGATTTACGACAAGGAAAACATCTTTGCAGACACAAGATAGGTACTTTCTTTCGACACACGGTACTTTCTTTAACGTACATGAAAGTAAGTTAATCAGTGTAGCTCGGGATCCTTTGAGTCGACTTTTAACCGGATCAAAGTTGTTATCATCCAATCTAATGTATCCAAGTTATATCCGTCCAATAAATCGATCAGGGTTCCACACTTGAGGCTGTAAATTAAGGAGGATATCTCCAAAGCCTTCTCTGTCTGCAGGCACGTCGATAGATAAAGCTGGTACGCCGCGAGTGGGGGAAAAGGTATTTCATGTTCTCATATCTTGTATTAAAGTTGTAAATTGAGTGTTAGCACTCGTACTTCTGTGAAATTGAGTGCTATGAAATTTAATGTTTTACAATTCTCAATTATAGTTATTGGTACTTAATTTCACAGCCATTATTAAAATAGTTTAACCCTTTGAGTACCGTCATTATAGACACAATTAAAGAACAATAGGTTGGTCACCGGTGTCCTCGCGGTGTTTGACAGTTTAAATAGGTACATTTTAATATTGTAATAATCAAAACCCCACGAGCCATAGCTAGGCACAGCAGTCAATTAAAACTAGTTAGTTTAGCATAAACGTGGTTATTGGTGACGGTTATCATTAAAGTTTTATGGTTAATTATTTCGCTATAAAAGCCTTTTTGCATGGAATTAATATAGGCTATTGTGTAAGCAAAACGCTGTCAGAGTCAGGCATTCAATATACTGAGTGACATTCAATTAGCCATGCATACAACGGTACGGGATATGTGAGAGGATAATGACGACCACTAATGCAGATCTGTAGCATATTATAAGAGGTTATGCACCTGGACTATTATATAATAAAATTATATTAAGATCTTCTTGATTGATACACGAAAAACGCAGCAAAGTAAGTGATGAATTAAATTAAAATGGATAAAATTAAGATGACCAATGAACAGATATAAAGAATATAAGAAAGGATACAAAGGAAGGTGTCGGTGACGCGATGAAAGACGTCTGGTAGAAAAGAAGACGTATTGTGAAGATCCAAAAAAAAACTGGGATAAAAGCTGGAAGATGAGGGACGACGGTAGAGAGAATATGGAAGTAAAACAAATGAAGCAACACTCGTCGCATTTGTATTGCATTCGGTTCGAGTAAACTAATGAAAGAACAACAAACTGCCAAGGATAGATAGATGGGAAGATGAAGGGGACGTGAAGTGTGCGGTGTTGTTAAGAAAACAAATTATTATAACAAACTGTTACATTCTCTATTTGTTTTTAAATCATTTTTAGTTCACAAAAACTATTGCTTACTTATTCAATTCGAAAGCTTAAGAAAATATTTTTAGGAATTTCAACGAAGAAAATACAATTCGCCTAAACCCTTTAGCGCTATTGAACATCGATATCCAAATATTTTTAAGGCATCTAACCCCTGCCATTCAAGATATTTTTCATATTTCCTGTTTGTCGTACAAATGTCAGCACATATCCATTTAAGAAGCAATACAGCCTATCGTACCCAATAAATATGGGAGCAAGTGATCGTCACTTCATTGGCCCAA